TCAACGTTGATATATCATTAGTTCCAGTGCTGATAACAACCAACGCAGCACCAATTATCTTCTTAGCCTTTTGTTCTCCCACAATCCTCCTTAGCCTTGCAGTGTAATTCCTAAACATGTCGATTTGCTTGGGAAATGAGATCACCTGAAACACATCATTTGTTGCATTATCATATCCTGATCCCGATGATGCAAAGCTAACACCCGTAGCAATTTCATGATCTGACAAATCTGGTTTCAAGAATGGAGGGACAGCGTTTTTGATCTTCAGAATAGAGGCTAGGAAATCAGTAATCAGTCTTCCATCTGAGAATCTCCCAGTAGGAGTGTGACCTGGGTAGCGTCTACCATATGGACGAAAATTGGCTTTGAACAGTGTATCGATTTCATTGTTGTTACCGCTATCTACTGTTGAATCGCCGAAGACGAGAATGGCAGGAAATTTGGAAAAAGATCTCGACCTTGTAGCATTCCCTGTATTGAAAAGGATTGTCAGAATGTAAACTAGTACAACAGAGGGCTTCATGTTTGCCATTGGCGAGCGAATGGAATGAGCGCAGATGGATGCTTCTTCTCTGCACTTGTTTCTATCCAAGCCCGTTCTACATTTTCTGCAAGCGAACTAAATTGGCTTTAATTCTGCGGACGTCCTCTTGTAAGTTAGAGAATTCAGGGGACACACACACAGTGTGTTTTATGTAAAACAAGAAAAAATATGTAAAAGTTATAATTTAAAATTTTATTAGTGACTTTTTTTATTTAAAATTTACTATAAAAACTAATGTAAACAAATTAAAAAACCTAAAAATAGAGTTTAAAAAAAATCAAAGCTGAAAAAATAACAAAAAAGTTTTAAACTAAATATGAAAAAAAACATAAATTAACTAGAAAAAATAATAAATATCAAACAATAATTTTTGAAAATCATTTAAAGACTTTTCAAAGTTTGATTGAAATATAATAATTTTTTATTCTGATGAAATTTTAACTTTATAGAGCACTGAGAATTTATTAATAAAGTTTCAACCCAATTAAAAAATATCAAAAATTTATATTAATAGATACAAGTGTGAACAAAATATTCTGCATCAATTAAATTAGTAAATAATAGATGATGAGAGAAGCAAAGCCAGATCAGCCTTCCGAGATAAAAACAACTGCGGTTATGACTTGAGAAACCAACTTTTAAGGCAGTGTAAATGAGTCCATCGGAAAAACAGGCAGAACTATAAATGATCCATCGGTCGGCTTATTTATGTATAAAACTATAAAAATTACCTGCAGGAAAATGATGTTATTGTATATAATTTGTCGGCCATTAGTTTTTCCGATGAGATTGGTTGGCATTTAATTCATTAATTGGCTGTAGGAAGACTGGAGATGTTGCTTTCCGGTCATATGTACAGATGGGGGTTGGTTGGTGCTTCAGTGCCAATAAATTTACAGATAGATTCATTAATGAAGTGCATTTTTTATTTTTATTTTTATTTATTGTGCTAAAATTGCGTGAGATATACCTTTACGGAAATATCTCACCCAAGAGCGGCGTGGATGCAAATATTCTGGGAAGTCAATCATGTGTGTGAGTGACTGTTTGGCATAAATTGTTAAAAAATATAATTTTAATGTAGTTGAAAATTTTTTGAAAAAAAATTATTTAATATAATATTTTTTAAAAAACACTACTTAAAAAAAAAAAACATAAATAACAACACTCTCAAACGGCAACCAATTTTATTTGACCGGAATAGCCTTCCTCATAATTAGCCTTGTCCTTTATTTTACTCCTGATTTAATAAATTAATTTTCTCCCCAAAATTTCTTCTCTCTGTCCACCTTAAGGCAGCAACATATAAAATTACAGAAATGGTAGCACTAAAATTATATATAAAAAAAAAGATTGAAAAAAAACTTTTAAAATGAAAAAGGTGTCAAAGGAAATTGAGAAACAATTAATATACATTTTGTTTCACGTAAATAGGAATCTGTAAAATATTTTCCGCATTCCGCATTTGGTTTTTTTAGAAAATTATGATCAATAAAAAATATTTTTTTAGTTAAGAATAAATGAGTTTTATCAATAAATATAGAATGAGTCTGAGTTGTTATTAAAAGAAGGAAAACATAATATATTTCACTTAATAAATCTAATCTTGATGTGTCTTTTTTTTGAATCCTGTACTTAGAGATAAAAGTTATAAAAATTAGAATTAAAATTAAGGGTAAAAAGGAGAACAAAATTGAAAGAACAATGTGAATTGATAAACTCTAACTAAATTTCCAGGCGAAGTAAAGCTTTGTGTAGGGTCAACAGCTTATGTGGAAGGCTGGAGATAAGAGTCCTCATTGGCTGACAGTTGACAAGAAAATTCAATTTCAAAGCAACGATATCGTTTAGTTAAAAATCAGATCAGAATCGCAGCCGGAAAACCTCATCTTAAATTCAAAACTAAAACTCTGGGACGGTGATAATAAAAAGGAGAGGAAGGCTTCCAGAGAGGATAAAAATGGCTTTATAGCAAACCACATTCACCCAAGGGTATTGAAAAAGATAGCCAGAATGTAAACTGGTACAACATAGAGCTTTGTGTTTTCCATTGATAAGCGAATGGTTGAGGAAGGATGGCTGCTTCTTCTCTGCAATTGTTTTCATCCAAGCCCCTTCAACAATCGCAGTAAGCAAACTAATTCTGCTGCATGTCCTTCAGGTATTTATATGCAATGATTGTGAGCTTACAACTTTGCTAACAATATCCAATTAGCTCGAGAGTTCAGTGGCGCCGTGTATTAGTATGGATAAAGAAGCAAGGCAGATATTAGGCTTCCAAAATCTTAGCGGCATGAATTTAAGCAAGGAATTTTGCAGAAACCTGATTTAAGACGGTGAGAATGGTTCTAAAAAAAGCCATATAAATGATTCAAACTTATCTATATCATATATAAAATCTCATGTTTTTAGATAAGCTTTTATTAGGTGCTTATCTTTTCCTTTTCTTTTCTCTCTCTTTGAGATAATTCTACGATAATGTTATTTTTTCAGTTTTTTTTCTTGAGTTGATAATCCCATTGACAACAGTCATTAGTTACTAAGCAATTTTATTTATTACTTAATACGCTCTTGCACGCAATAAAATACGTGTCCTACAGTACTACAGGAAAAAATCTAGGTGAATGTGGTAGTGTTTAGTTTATATTGCTAAGAAAATTCCTTGATAATTAATGTAATTAACAAGTTGTTGTTTTCAAATCGCTAGGACTTTGCTGATTAGCATATTTTCTTAAGCATGATTAATTAGTGAGGAGGAGGAAGAGGATGATGGATAAATATGACGCTTCATCGATGACAAGAAATAAAAAATAATTATTATTAAACTTAGGGGATATATAAAATTGCATTTCAAATGGTGCTTTAAAAAAATTAATTTTTTTAAAAATTAAAATTTTTATATGTTTTGAAATCATATAAAAAGTGATTTAAAAAAACTATTTTAATACATTTCTAAAATATCATATAAAAAGTGATTTAAAAAATAAAAAAAACTATTTTAATAAAATTAAAAATACTTTTAAAAAAATTACTACCACTTGTAAAACAACCACTTAGTTTTGTCATCACACATACAGTAAGGATATTACTGAGGATCAAATCCTGCTCCTACTGATGCTGTTGCGGAGCTGACACCAGAAACGAGTTCTGGAATAGATAAATTCGGATTCAAGAACGAAGGGACAACCAGCCTCTTTGATCCCAAAAGCAGCACGTAGGTTGGAATACCGTCCGGGGATTAGTTTTACGAGAGCTCCTCGTATCGCAGGGTGATGCAAGTTTTTGACCTATCTCTGGGTACAAAATTGCCTTAAGCTGTGTATTGATATAGCCACCTCAACCCTGACATCAATTCAAGCATTTTAATGAACTTCGAGAAAATGGTCCCTCTGACTGGAAAAGCAAAACTGGTGGTATATATTTCCTAATTTACACTTCATTTCTATAAATTTGCCCATGCTTCCGTCCTTTGTCTAAAATTATGTTTTTTGGTATTATTTTTTAAATTTTGGCTTAAGACACTAAATTTGATTACTTCCAATTAAAATGCCTAATTTTGAGTAAAATTGAACTAAATTACTCAATATGAATCTTGTTGATCGTTTTCATTGAAAAACAAAATTGCTGGTATACCTACTGTGATTTACACTCCATTTCTATAGAATTGCCCATTACAGATCCGTATTTAACAGAAAATTAAATCTGTTTACAGAAAATTAAATCTGTTTACATTTTTTTTTTTAATTTTAACTTGAAACTCTACATTTTATTGATTGATCCGTGTTTAACAGAAAATTAAATCTGTTTACAAATTATTATTTTTAGTTTTTAACTTGAAACTCTACATTTTATTGATTTCAAGTAAAATGTCAAAAATTAGGAAAAATTCAACTAGATTACCTGGTAAGTATGAAGGTCGTTGATTGTTTTTCCATTAGTGGTTTATCATTTCAAGCATGAGAAGATCCAAATTTGCTGAAAATAAAATTGATCTTAATTTTGACTTCATTTTCTATAAATTTGTCCTGATACTTCTAAATTGCAGAGTTTGTCATCTCCTGAATATATATATATGGTTCTTCTAAATTGCAGAGTTTGTCATCTCCTGATAATAAATTGTATAGTATTGCTGGCTTGTCATTTAAGATTCAGAGTTTAAATGCCCTCTAATATGTTTACTATGTTGTGTAGTGTCTGTTATAAGATTAAACATATCAAATTATTTAGTAATAAATTGAGTTTTATGTTATTAATAAAATCACTTAAATATTTAAAATTATTATTAATGATATAACAAGAATTAAACATTTTTTACACAAATAAAATAAAAGAAATACAAGTAAAATATGAGTAAATATAATTGCCACGACCCGAGCTAATTAATTGATGCAGAATCTATCTCATATTTCTTACAAATTCGTGACTCGAGCCGTTTATTCTGCTGCAAGAAGCCAGGATCTTGTGCAGATGAAAGCAATATGTTGTTTTACAGGAACTTGGGGAAAACCACCTCCTCTATATGCTTAGCAATGACCCGGTAGGCTGATGTGCTGGGATGAACAGCATCCCAAAATAAGAACTTGGGAGCTAATGATTTTCCACATGATGGGATCGTTGGTCCACACAAGGGTCCCAGTTCGAAAAGTCCAGTCCCACAACATCCTATCTTTGTTTCCAGAAATCCTGTTGTGAAACACAACCCGCGTTATTCAGCCTTTTGCTTTTAATCTTCCGTGCTTGATGCAGTTTTATTTACTTGTGATGAAATCTAAGCATTTCAGTTTTGTAAAATTTTATGTGGTGACTTAGCTTACCATATCGTTTTGGATTCTTGACCATGTCATCCAGTGGCTCATATAAGTCGGCATATACGATTTTGCTCCCTGAAAAAGTTGCCTGTGCTTGGGCCAAAAGCTTGACAAGCTCTTGGTTATAAGATTGAGCATATGAATTTATGTTATCCACCCATTTTAGATCTACAGGAAGTAGAAGTTCAGTGGCCAGCTGAATAGTTTTCTCGATGGGAGCGTAGCCAACTGGAGGAAGGCCAGCTACAGCCATGGAGCGGCATCCAAGATCATGCAGCTCCTGTAAGTTCATAGATAGATGATTGAAAACATGATGTCAATTCTGCAATATTTACAAAATTAGCTGTGCAATCAGAGAGAGATATGGTTCTTACTTTAGTAAAATTTTGAACGATATCCAGCATAGTATCCTGGAAACTATAGTGCAAGTTGAAAGGCCTTGTAAGGATATCATTGCTTCCTGCACTAATCAGAACAAGGGCACCACCAATTATCTGTTTGGCCCTTTCTTCGCCTACAATACCCTTTAGCCTTGCAATATAATCCCTGAACATATCAATCTGCTTTGGAACTGGGATAACATTTAGAAGGGTATTTGTTTGGTAATCGTATCCCGCTCCTGCTGATGCAAAGCTTACACCGGTAATGACTTCTGCATCAGACAAATTCGGATCCAGGAATGGAGGAACAGCCTCTTTGATCTTCAGAGCAGAGGCTAACATATCAGGAACCAATTCCCCATCAGAGAACCTCCCCGTGGCTTTCTGACCTGGATAGTTCTGACCATATGGGAAAAAGTTCGCCTTAAGAAGTGTATTAATATAATTGTTATTGCCTGTATCTACTGTTGAGTCGCCGAAGATGAGAATGGCAGGAAATTTCGGCAAAGGTCCCTGTCCTGCAGCTTTACATGTATTGAAAATGATCGCGCAAACGTAAGCTGCTATAGCATAAATCTTGATGCTTGCCATTATTGAAATAAAAGTGGCGGGAATTAACTCAACTGCTGCTTATTACTCTACCGGCGTTCTGTCCTGATCTATTTATAATCAGCAAATATAACGAGTATCTATACCATTAATACTCGATTAGCTAGAAACCATCTGAGGAAACAACTCGAAGACAGTGATTGACAGAGAAGCCAAGACAAAATAAAAATAGAAATAGCTTTCAAGATTTGAATGATAGCTAACCAGGATATGGATCATCTGACAGTGCTGGTGACCTGTCCTTTGTTGACTGCGTGACCAATTTATACAAATCCAAATTATATATAAAATTATGAATTTTATATTGGAATATTTGATTCAACAAAAATATCCCTAAGTTTTAATGATCATCGAATGTATTGAATGTACTTTATTGGTAATTACCAAACATGCTACTTCTTGTCTAAAAAGATTTTACATGCCAAAATTAAAAAGACTCAACTGCATTTAAAAATAAAATAAAATTTTATACTATGTCAATAAATATAATTTTATCTTCAACTAAAACATTAATATAATTCCTAAAAAGTAGGTCAATCGTGTTTTCCAACAAATGACTATTTATATGTCACAAAAAACTATAAATAACTTTTTTAAATAGCCCCAAACCCTTATTATATCTCTTGACACCGTATTCTATAAATAACTTTTTTAAATAGCCCCGAACCCTTATTATATCTCTTGACACCGTATTTTGAATGTCAAACTTCTGAGAATGGTTAAAAGAGGTCAAAAAAGACAACTATGAAATGCTAGAATTTTTATAAGAATTTTAAATTATATTATTTGATTAGTTTAACCTGTTAATAAAATTATGTTTATATTTCTTTTTTATATATAATATGAGATTTTTGAGTTAATTTATATATATCATGATTAATTTTTAAAATGTTAATAAGATTATGTTTATATTTTTTTTTTATATATATAATATGAGATTTCGAGTTAATTTATATATGTCATAATTAATTTTTAAATTCATTAAATATCTTATAAATTTAATAAATAGATAAAATATCACAAGAATAATAAATATTTATATAAAGAATCGAACTTGGATGTAGAAACATAAAAATTACTGCGAGAATCGTTAGGCGACTGCCTTTGAGCCTATATTTCTAATTTTTATTAACATTACATGTAATTAAAATTTAAAAACAATAAAATTACATCAAAATTCTACAACTTATTGAATCGGATCTTAGTTATTTTTTTTAATACGAGGTTCCTGTTAATTATGTTACGTTATGTCTGGCCTTTTTTATGAAATTGTTTGTCTTTTGGCAGACTCCACCTGTGAAAAGAACACCCAGGCCAATAGATATATAGCATAAAATTTTCAACTGTGTACGTATCTTTTAATATTTATATTGCATGTATTAAAAGGGAACCCTTTAAGTAAAAATACTTGTAACAATTATAATACTAGTATAATCATGTTAAAATTCACTTCATGTACCTGTGTATTTTTGTTGTCTAATACTTTTTTTTTTAATAAAAAAACTCTTTTATACAAAAGTAGTTCATAAATATTATTGTAATATAGTAGTGATCGTAGTTGAAGAGAATATTTTAATTTTATAGTACTATAATATAAACATCATCATGCGAGATCCAGTGTTTTAGCGATTTTTGTTTCTTTGAATTTTTTCAATAGTTTTTAATTATAAGTATTACTAAATATAAATAATAAATATAAAAAAATGTTATAAATTATCATATTTTTACTTTATATAATCGTTTCTGATATTAAAGAAACTCCTTTAAATACAGCAATTCTTAAAATTTCCGTTCATATCTGTATCCTTTATCTCTATTCACTAGCTCCACGTGTAATAAAAAATAAAATAATAATAAATTTGAATTAAAATCTTAAAAATTATTAAATCGGATCTTAGTTATTTCTTATTTATTTATATAAGACCCTTGGTTATTATCTTATTTTTAATTTTTAACTACACCATGTGAAAGAATTTATAATTTTTGACAAATTATAATAATGTAGAAAATGGTCCCTTTAGTCAGAAAGTAAGTCTTATCCATGCCTGTATCTCTAACATTTTTTTTCAAGGTTAACTATTTAAAATAAAAGGATATGTAGAAATTACAGTCTAATATTATCAAGTTAAATTTAATTGTTTCTAAATAATAAAAAATTCGTTCACATTATATCTGTTATGTATAGATTTTGATTTTATCGTAACAAATAATTTTTCTTAAAAACAAATTCACACATCTAACAAAATTTGAATATCTTCTCCTATCAAAATAACTATCACATTACAATACCTGTGTGAATTTTTTTTTTTAAGAAAAATTATTTGTAATTTTTTATTATTTAGAAATAATTAAATTTAACTCGATAATATTAGACTGTAATTTCTACATATCCTTTTATTTTAAAGAGTTCGGCTTGAAAAAAAATTATTTTAATTGAGTTTTATATGAATTTCTATATATATATATATATATATATATATCTGAGTTCCAAAGTTTTATCATCAAATTTTATTTTAATTGAGTTGTTTTTCATGAGTTTTTAATTATAGACGTGACCAAACATAAGTGATCAAAATGTATTAATTCTAGATTGTGATTGATCATAGTTTGAATTTATATTCTATTATATTTTTTTTTATCGTATAAACAAACTAACTTTAACTTTAAGTAATAATGATAACATGTTTTTTTTTGTTTAATATTATTAATACACGTGCCAAGAAAAATGATACTTTTTTTTAAAATGTGATTAAAAACAAAAGACAGAACCACAGCACCTTATAAAAATAATGTTTTTGTTTTTAACTACACTTAATTACTTATAAGGAAATTATGCAAAAATTTTAAAGCTTATTTTTAGGAGTTTTTATAATATATGTATGTATGGTTTTTTTATTTTCTAACTATTAACTATTGCATAAATTCATGAAAAATAACAAAAAAAAGTATTAAATATAGAATTATATAATACACATTCAAAGCACATGTCAAGAAACTAGCAGATACAGTAGTATAAATAAGTTGTAGCAATCTGTGAATCAATGCTGTCAATGGAAGGCTGAGGGATAATTTTTATCCATTTATAATTGTCTTTGTTTTTCAAAATCTCAAAGATAGAGTTAAAGAAAGAAAAGTAAATAATGATCGAGAATAATATAAAATATATTCTGAAATCTTATTTAATAGTTTAAAATATTATATTGGAATGGTTTTTTAACATAATATTAAAGTTTTGATAATCAAGTGGTTATGAGTTCAAATCTTATTATTTTTATTTATTTTAATAAAAATTAACCACAAAGTAACTTAAACCTATGCAAGTTTCAAGTTTAAAATACTTTAATTAAAAAAATATATATTAAAAAATAATATAAAATATATCTTGTGATCTCATCTAATAGCTTAACCTATTTTTATTGGGTTGAGTCATTAATCCCTACCCATTAAAATTGTAAAAAAATATCAAGCAAAGAAAATAAATCAACCCAGACTTAGTTATTTTTCAATTTTCTATTTCTTAGGAATTTAAAAAATTTTAATTGCTTTAACATAAATGTTTTCTAACTTTTACACATTTTTTAAATAATTATAAAAAATAATATAAATTTGATCAACTCATAAATTTAAAATCTATTCATTATCATATTTCTTATTTGTTAATGTGTACAAATAATTATGATTACTCATCATACTTTAATTTTATAATTTTATAGTTTTATTTCTTGATTTCAAAATAATCAGGAAATAATCAAACGGAAAAAAATTATACTTTGGAGGAGACATGGATCAAATTAAATATAAGGCAAGGAGTTTAAAATCAAAATTTGAATAATAATAATAAAAAAAAGTCCTAAAGAAAAGCGGTCAGAACGCATGGAGCATGACACGCAAAAGACATAGCGTTGAACCCGGCCCGTTATGAGCCCGTTGGCTCTAAGTTCGAGAATCTGGAGGTACTGTAATAAATGATCTGGACCGTTTAAACTCTCAACAACCTACGGTCCACATTTTCCCGCAGAGAAACATGGTACCGTAACTTGGTCTTGAGAGAGAGAGAAACCCCCAAACTCTGGGTTTTCTCATCAACCAAACAGAAAATTCATCTTCCATAATCGACTGTCTGACCCACCTGGATCCTCATTTTGAATCCAAAATTCAGTAAGTGTTTCTGTTTTTCGTAAAATAAATTACCCCTTGTAGAATTGTTCAATTCCTAAATGGGTTTCATGTAGACAGTTAACGAAGATGAAAGGAATCAACTTTGTCTTTTGGGTTTTGGTAATTGTTTAGAAAGTAACAAGGAATTACGTTAAATAGTTATATCCATGCATGCATATCTCTGAATGTAGGTTCAATACCTGTGAATTTTGTTTTGACTAAAATAAAATGAGAATAAGATTATGTCAGCATACAAAAAGAATGTAATTCTTATTCGTTTTCTGATCTAATAAAAATAGACTGTAACTCGGTGGTGAAAAGGAAGTTATGGGTTTTGATTTTTTTAATCACTCATTTTAGTTTTAATTTAGAATTTATTTACTGCCACTTACTGCTGAGTTTTAGCTCAAATGTAGACCTATTCTATTTTTTTTTTCAGCTTAATTATGCTTTAATATTACTGTTACCTGAATTCTTTTTGCTTCTTTTCTTCATGAACTGCAAAAAAATGCTAAATTTTGAGTGTGGTGCACGTTTGTTATCTATGATGTCTGCAAATTACCTCATTGTGCACTGGAAACTTATGTTCTGCAGTGGATTTGGAACATAGTCCTGATGTTCCAAACGAGGATCTACATAATTCTACAGATGGCAATCCTCAGCATGGTAGTGATGGCACAATCGGTGGAAGTTCTATAGAAGCAACATCTCAACCTGAACAAAGTGATAAAATGACTCCAAATTCCACTGGGGGTTTTGAGTTAACTGTAGTCGAACCATATGTGGGTCAAGAGTTTGAATCGGAAGCAGCTGCACTTGAGTTCTATTGTTCTTATGCCACGCGTACAGGTTTTGTTACTCGAATGAGAGATCACAATTGCTCTCAGCGTGATGGATCTATCATTTCAAGAACACTAGTTTGTAACAGAGAGGGTTTTCGAAAGTCCGCCGATAAGCCTAGAATGCCATGGTCAAGAAAGCCTCGTGCTGTCACTAGGGTGGGTTGCAGAGCAAGGGTTTCATTTAGAAAGCAGAGTAATGGGTTTTGGGTTATTAGAAGTTTAGTAAAGGAGCACACTCATCCATTGGCATTGCCTGAGAACCAATCTCCAAAGGCTAGGGGAAATCCCAAGATCTATCAAGTTCCGGTCAGATCTTGTCCCTAAACTTGCTCTTTAGCATGATACATGATGACTTTTAGTTTTGTTGATGTGCTATTACTTCACGTATTCCATTCAGCCACTCAATTGATTCTCTAGCAAAACTGTGATGAACTTGACCAGCCATTTGGGATCACATGCAACAAGTATTTGATTTGTAAACTTAAGCACTTGTTGCCAATTTTGAAGTTATTGGATGTTGTGTTTAAAATCTGTCTAGCTCAGGTCATTTAAATCTTTCTTGCCCCCACAATTTTCAGGACTCTGCCCATAGAGCAGTATATAGGAAAACTGTGGGTCATTGTAGCAGTTATGGTTCCTGGTAGCTTCCAGAGACTGGTAAAATCCACTTTAAGTGGGCGGTTGTTTATAAACAAAACTGCAAGTGTACATCTACTATCTACGAGTCTTTGTCTCACAGCTTCCTTAAGGAAGGAGCCATGCAGCATCTCGCTATTTCAAGTTTGATGACTTGTCAAATGCTCGTATAATTTTTGTCATTCCATTCATCTTTTTTAATTAAAAATGATTGCTCGAGGGCATCTGAATTGTGCGAGATTAATAGCTATGGCCTGAGACTCATTTCTGACTAGTTAGTTCTCATATCCTTTTCTTTTTCTGATGATTGCATGTTCCTGTTTTCCCCTAGGCTGATGACAAGAGAGTCCATGAACTGATGCGAGAGCTGATGGCGGAGAAAAAAAGGAATGCTTCCCTCACAGAATTTATACACCTTTTATTCAATCACATCGAGGAGCACACGCAAGGCTTGTCAGAAAAGATCCAGTGCATAGTAGAAAAGGTGAACAAGATGGAGTCGGAAGGAAAAAAGTCGGGATCTGAGATAGTCATGTCATTGTAATGCAGCAGCCGACAGCATGCAGTCCTGAGTTGTTTTTGTCTTGCAATTTAATTTAACTCTGCAGACTTGAATGAATGAATGAGTGCTCATTGTGTCCCACCGTTTCTAATGAAATCCAAAATAAATATTATTTAGCTGTTATATAAAATATAAGCATATACAGAAGTGCAATGGTTCCATGTGTGCAGTGTTATCCAAATAGGGATTTATAACAAGAAATTTGACGTAGTGAACTAGGAAAAGGCGTTCTAATTGCGTTTATAACCATAAAATAACTAAAATCAAACTTGGAATTCGAAAGATAATTTTTAAAAAATAAAATAAAAAAATAATCAAACAAGAATTAGAATATAGCTTGGATTCATTTTTTTTTAAGAAAATAACAGGAATTACAACAACCATGTACGACCATATAGATTTTCATCAACTTCATTTATAAAAAAAAAAAATCTGATTTTTTTTTATGATTTATAAATTATATCACCCGTAATCCCAACACACACACAACAATACAATTATATGATGTGATGCTAGTGGATTAAAATTGTCTGCAGGAGAAAATTATCCTAAATGAATATAAACTAGACTCACAAAAAGTTTTTTTGAAAAAAAATATAATAATCAGTAGGCTTCCCTTGAGTGAAAAGATGGTTACATTCATTTGCTTGAGGTAGACAGACCTCCATCGAGTGGACTGCCAACTTGTTCAAATATCCTAAACAAGTTGAGATCTTCGTAAGATCCTTTCAAGATCACTTTTTCAATAATTTTATTTATTTCACGGCCTTTTTCATAAGATTTCAAGCATTAGTAGGATTTAGATCGCCTCGGTTTAAATTCTCAAGATTATAAACTTTTTAACAGGGGATTTATAATTATCATGCGTGTGCATTCCCACGTTAGTTTTGTTAAATAATATTTATATAGTCTTATTTATTAAGGATAGAATAATACTTTCAGTTTAATCTATATATACTTTATTTTTATTTAAGTCAAAGTTAAGCATTAATAATATACAGATTACTCAGAATTCTAGCCTCTTTTTTATATTTGATCTTAATTATTTTAACATGGTATCAGAGCTGGTTTTATAGAACGAGGCTTAATTCCGAATAAAGCTTCGCGGATCCAACTCGAACAAAATTTTTTGGAGTGAGATTTTGTCTTCCGCTTCTGCAAAAAAAACAAAAAAAAATTGGTATTTCGTCAATTTCTGCAATTATTTTGGTATTTTGTCTTCCCTTCAGCTTTTGCAATTTGGTATTTGTGTTCAGTTTCTGCAAATTTATTTTGTGTTTTGGAGTAATCGTATAGTAGTGAGAAGATATTTGTTTAGTTTCTGAATTTCTGTTCAGTTTCTGCAATTTGGTATTCAGTTTTCCGCTGCTTTTGCATTCTAGTTTTCTTTGATTGTTGATTATGGCTACTGAAAGAGATGATTTACTTCAGTCTGTGAGTGTGAGGTTGGATGGGAAGAACTATTCATATTGGAGCTATGTAATGAGAAACTTTCTTAAAGGTAAGAAGATGTAGGGGTATGTTAGTGGAACTTATATGATACCGAAGAACATTGAGGAGAGGGATGTTGTTTTGATAGATACATGGGAGGCAAGTAATGCAAAGATCATTACTTGGATCAACAATTCTGTTGAACATTCGATAGGTACGCAGTTGGCGAAGTATGAGACAACAAAAGAGGTTTGAGATCATCTGCAAAGGTTATTCACGTAATCAAATTTTGCAAAACAGTATCAATTAGAGAATGACATACGAGCTCTTCATCAGAAGAATATGAGTATTCAAGAGTTTTATTCTGCTATGACAGATCTTTGGGATCAATTGACTCTTACAGAATCGATAAAATTAAAGGCATGTGGTGCCTATATTGAGCGTAGAGAGCAACAACGATTAGTACAGTTTTTAACAGCACTTCGCAGTGACTTCGCAGTGACTTCGAAGGACTGAGAGGTTCAATTCTGCATCGTTCTCCACTGCCTTCTGTTGACTATGTTGTGAGTGAGTTATTGGCTGAAGAAATACGTCTTCAATCTTATTCTGAAAAGGAAATTCTTTCTGCTTTGAATCCTTCAGTACTAGCAGTACCTTCTAAGCCATTCTCTAATCATTAGAAGAAACCTTACACAAGGGTTGGCTTCGATGAGTGCAGTTTCTGTAAGCAGAAAGGTCATTGGAAGGCTCAGTGTCCTAAGTTGAGACAACAGAATCAAACTTGGAAGTTTGACGGTCAGTCACAACCTATTGCTCATAAACCACCTCAGGGTTATAAACCATCACACCATAATACTGCAGCAGTAACTTCCCCAAGCTCTATTACCTATCCCAATACTTTGGCTGAGCAATTTTAGAAGTTTCTCTCCTTGCAGCCACAAGCAATGTCTGCTTCTTCTTCCATAGGTCAGTTGCCTCATAGTTCTTCAGGTATGTCACACTCTGAATGGATCTCGGATTTTGGTGCTTCTCATCATATGTCTCCAGATTCCTCATCTTTTACCTCTGTGTCCCCTTTGTCCTCCATTCCTGTTATGACTACTGATGGCACTCCTATGCCCTTAGCAGGTGTTGGTTCTGTTGTCACACCTCACTTATCTCTCCCTAATGTTTATCTTATTCTAAAACTCAAATTGAATCTTGCGTCTATTGGTCAAATATGTGATTCTGGTGATTATTTAGTCATGTTTTCGGGTTCTTTTTGTTGTGTACAGGATCTGCAGTCTTAGAAGCTGATTGGGACAGGCCGTAGGGAGAATGGACTATATATTTTGGATGAGTTAAAAATGCCAGTTGCTACTGCCGCCGCTGCTACTACTACTGTTGATTTGTCTTCCTTTTGTTTAAGTCTTTCATCTTCTAGTTTTTATTTATGGCATTCCCGTCTAGGTCATGTTTCGTCTTCTCGTTTGAGATTTTTGGCATCCTCAGGAGCTTTAGGAAATTTAAAAACTTATGACATTTCTGATTGTAGTGGATGTAAACTGGCAAAATTTTATGCTTTACCTTTTAATCGAAGTATTTCTGTTTCTTCTTCACCATTTGATTTGATTCATTCTGATGTATGGGGACCTTCTCCTGTTGCCACAAAAGAAGGGTCTCGATATTATGTCTCTTTTATTGATGATCATACTCGTTATTATTGGATTTATTTAATGAAATATCGTTTTGAATTCTTTGAGATATATACAGCTTTTCGAGCTCTTATCAAAACTCAACATTCTGCCATGATTAAATGTTTTAGGTGTGATTTGGGTGGGGAATACACCTCTAATAAATTTTGCCAACTGCTTGCCTTAGATGGAACCATCCACCAAACTTCATGTACAGATACTCCTGAGCAAAGTGGTGTTGCTGAAAGAAAATATAGGCATATTGTTGAAACTGCTCATTCTCTCTTGTTGTCTGCTTTTGTTCCTAGTGAGTTTTTGGGAGAAGTTGTTCTTACTGCAGTAAGTTTGATTAATACAATTCCATCTTCTCATAGTTCGGGTCTATCTCCTTTTGAAAAGTTATATGGGTATGTCCCTGATTATTCCTCATTTAGAGTCTTTGGTTGTACTTGTTTCGTTCTTCGTCCTCATGTAGAACGCAGTAAGTTATCCTCTCGATCCGTTGTTTGTGTCTTTTTAGGTTATGGTGAAGGTAAAAAGGGGTATCGTTGTTTTAATCCAATAACTCAGAAACTTTATGTGTCTCGTCATGTTGTCTTTCTTGAGCACATACCTTTCTTTTCTATTCCATCCACTACTCATAACATGACTAAATCTGATATTATTCATATAGATCCCTTTTCTGAGGATTCTGGTAATGATACCTCTCCCCATGTTCGATCAATTTGTACTCATAACTCTACAGGTACTGGTACTTTACTCTCTAGCATACCTGAAGCTCTATTCTCATCTACAGCCCTTCAAGCTTCATCTGAGATTGTGAATCCACCTCCACGTCAGTCCATCCGCATTCGTAAGTCCACAAAACTACCAGATTTTGCTTATTCTTGTTATTCTTCATCATTTACTTCTTTTTTAGCTTCTATTCATTGTCTCTTTGAGCCCTCTTCCTATAAAGAGGCAATTCTTGATCCACTTTGGCAGGAAGCTATGGATGAGGAACTTTCTATTTTGTATAAGACAAATACTTGGGATCTGGTTCCTCTACCTCCTGGTAAAAGTGTTGTTGGTTGTCGTTGGGTGTATAAGATTAAAACCAATTCTGATGAGTCTATTGAGAGATACAAAGCTAGGCTGGTTGCAAAAGGATATTCTCAACAATATGGTATGAATTATGAGGAGACATTTGCCCCGGTTGCATAAGACATATTGCTTGGTTTGAGAAATTCTCTATTGTGATCTTATCCCTTGGCTTTGTTCCTAGCAGTCATGATTCTGCTCTTTTTATTAAGTGCATTGATGCAGGTCGTATCATTCTGTCTTTATATGTTAATGACATGATTATTACTGGTGATGACATTGATGGTATTTCAGTTTTGAAGACAGAGTTGGCTAGACGATTTGAAATGAAGGATTTGGGTTATCTTCGATATTTCCTAGGTATTGAGATAGCATACTCACCTAGAGGTTACCTTCTTTCTCAGTCAAAATATGTTTGCAGATATTCTTGAGCGGGCTAGACTTACTGATAACAAAACTGTAGATTCTCCCATTGAGGTTAACGCAAGGTACTCTTCTTCTGATGGTTTACCTTTGATAGATCCTACTTTATACCGTACTATTGTTGGGAGTTTGGTATATCTCACCATTACTCGTCCAGATATTGCATATGTTGTTCATGTTATTAGTCAGTTTGTTGCTTCTCCTACTACTGTTCACTGGGCAGCTGTTCTTCGTATTTTGCGATATCTTTAGGGTACAGTTTTTCAGAGTCTTTTACTTTTATCCACCTCTTCCTTGGAGTTGCGTGGATACTCTGATGCTGATCATGGTAGTAATCCCACAGATCGCAAGTCTGTTACCGGGTTCTGTATCTTTTTAGGTGATTCTCTTATTTCTTGGAAAAGCAAGAAACAATCTATTATTTCTCAATCGTCCACCGAAGCAGAATATCGTGCCATGACATCTACTACCAAAGAAATTGTTTGGTTATGTTAGTTACTTGCTGATATGGGAGTTTCCTTTTCTCATCCTACTCCTATGTATTGTGACAACCAGAGTTCTATTCAGATTGCTCACAACTCGGTTTTTCATGAGCGAACTAAGCACATTGAGATCGATTGTCATCTTACTCGTCATCATCTCAAGCATGGCACCATTGCTTTGCCTTTTGTTCCTTCTTCCTTGCAAATTGCAGATTTTTTCACCAAGGCACATTCTATCTCTCGTTTTTGTTTTCTAGTTGGCAAACTCTCGATGCTCGTAGCTGCCGTATCCTGAGTTTGAGGGGAGATGTTAAATAATATTTATGTAGTCTTATTTATTAAGGGTAGAATAGTACTTTCAATTTAATCTATATATACTTTATTTTTATTTAGATCAAAGTTAAGCATTCATAATATACAGATTATTCAGAATTCTAGCCTTTTTTTTATATTTAATCTTAATTATTTTAACAAGTTTAAGTTGAGTTTTAGCGATTAGAGTGGTATGTTGTGAAGACCTCAGCAGACCTCAGCACTCTGCAGTTTATATACCATCAAATACGGGCATCTGCATGTAAATGTCTTCCATAAGCTAATTAATTATAGCGAATCTTACTGATCAGAGAAATAACATGGATCAGATATAGTTCAAATTGAGATCCAGATATATCACGACCTGTATGGAAATCAGAGCGAAATTTTATTTCATACCTTTTTTTATTTTTTGAGAAATTATATGCCATATCGGGAAAGATAATTGTTTTGCTCTCCGCTTTAGGGTGTACAATACAGTGAAACAAGAGAATCATTTTCAGAATAATACCTCCGAATGGATATAGCGAAAATGATAATGACTGCCTTCACGGAATTCTATACATCAAGCATTTGGTTTATTTATTGAGCTTTGAAAACAATTAAACACTTCAAAGTCTTCATTCAGTTTATATATTTAAATTTAAATGGAAGATTTGAGCAGAAAAGCACATCTAATTCTCTTACACAGAATCTCACCCAAGAGAGGATAGGCTTCCCATATAGAGCACCAGATATGCAAACTCGTCGGATGGTTTTGAAAGGCACATCTCTTCTGAGGCATAGACAATAAGTAAACTTAAAACTGGAGATGATCAATCATTTCAGAATCCTATGGACAACGAACAAGAACAAAGCACCCAAAAAGAAGTTAAAGCCGCATTTTCTTTGAAGTTTTACCCAAAATCTGTATAGGAATTCACCATGTAAAAAAAAATTAAACATTTGTCACCGCTCCCAAATTAAAATTAAATACAGTATCATTTTCCTGCCTGGCTCCTTACTTAACTACATGTCCTTTTGATGATACCACCTCATCAAGATAAACAAGTCACAGAATCCTATCTCTTTCATCAACCTAAGTTTGCTAGCACCTCTCACATTGGATTGAATCTAATCGATTCCAACAAATTACATCAAATTGATTTCTATGTACAATAAACAACAAGAATAAAGATTCTCGCGCAAATGTGGATATAGAAAGAACCTAAGAAGGTTAACAAAGGAATGGTTGGAAGGCATTTAGCTACCTAATTTAAAGGCATCCACAAAGAGGCCTAAGCAAACACCGGCTTTCCAATAGTTCATCATCGCTACAAAATATTGCAGCCTCCTGGTAGATAGGGAAGAGGGTTTTTTATACATAAGCATACCAATCCCCTCAATGGCAGCAACCACAATGCCTGCAACCAATACATCCCAGTCACCTGTCTGTCCGAGTATTGTAGCCAGCGCATTTGCTGTATAAAAACCTAATAGGAGGAGAAATATTTTCATGGGGAAGTTTTTTCTTGCTGAATTCAGCTTTTCTAGTAGCTGTCTGCCACCTGCACTTACTATCCTGCCTAACCGAGTTCCACCAAGACCAGGAGGACTATCACTATTGACGTTCTCTTGCCCCCCATTTCCAGGCAGCCCACCAGTGTCCAAGGCAAAGGCTATTCTCCAACCTTGTCTTCTCAGCTGAAACCTGTTTTGGTACAGTGAAGGCCAAAGCCATGATAATAATGAGATGTGGCTGAGCAAATCGGAAGCCAAAGCCAGATACAACATTGTTAGAGATTTAAATTACACGGGATGAAAAATTGAACTTCTTATAAAAAGCTCATAAGAATGAAAGCAACATCCGACTTGCCACAGCAGAACTGGAATGAGGCAGTTGAGTACAATCATGAATACTACAACTTAACTATACAATCATAGGACCAATTTGGCGAGAAAAACAACAGCAGCAGCAGCAGCAACAAGTAAAAACACAAGTCTTACTGTACGAGCATTGTGGAAACCATAAAAGACTGAATGAACATATTTAGTAAGTTTCTGAATTGTTCCAAAATCAATTGGATGTGCGATAAACTGAGGAATGGACTAGCTCATATTAATCAGACTTCCAAGGCCAAAAGAATTTTCCAAAACTGATTAATTGATTGTGCAAGTGACATGATAACTCTGCTTTCATGTAGACCCTTTTGTTGGGAGATATAATTATCGAACACCACTAATCACCATTTATGTCAACTGTTCTTCATATTGATACTCTAGAGTGAGGGTTCAATGGCTACAAAACAACAGCACTATGATGAAACGCAAACAATGCCAACAAAAATGAGATACTGATTCCAAATATTATGATTAGACTATTCAATGTTCCTGGATTCACAAGAAAATAGCTCTTCGACAACAAATATGTCTACAAACTTTAAAATGTACCTCGTCTTTTGAAAAGGCACAAACTTTATGCCAATCTTTGATGCCTGTCCGCTAAAACTGGGCTCACTGTTCCTGTTCTGCATTGCCCAAGTTGCAATGGTTATACAAGTTCTTTCAGAGACTTCATTCACCATTACTGATAAACCTGACTGCAGCATTCTTGCTCCCACTTGACATGCCATCAAGAACTAAGAATCATAATTTAGAAGCAGTTAAACCATCCATTTCCATATAACATTTATACCCAATGTACAATCATTGTGATTGCTAAAATCTTCAATTCAATAAGTGCTCCTCAAATTTACAATTATAAAATTTAGGCCCTTGTAAGAAATTTAGAAACTTCTCAAACTTTCGATGCTAATACCTCCATTGCAGCATTCAGATAATATGAAGTAAAAAACTATACCACAAATCTACGAAAAGACCCATTAATGTTTTTAATCAATTGGAAAGATTGAATCGATAAATAAAATAATGAATTCAAGAAGTAAGTAAAACCCTAACCTTTGGGTGATAATTTTGAGGAGAAAGTTTCAAGTTTTGGAGTTTCTCTCCAAATTTCTGGCTTCTCTGCAATGCTATTTGTGTGTCTGGTTCTAGAGGAAAAGCGCCCGAAAAATAAAGAAAATGAAACGGAGTCACTTATAGCTTAGTCCTTATAGTTTATAAATATAATCAATTAGCTCTCGTAGTTTTGAAACTATATATTCAATCTTTATGTTTTTAAATAAATTTATAATTTAGTCCATTTTATGATATTTTCTATTTTTATTTTTCATTTTAATAAATAAAAAGGATATAAAATAAATTCATAATATTAAAATATTCATGATAAAACGATATGTGTTTTTGAATAAAATACAACCAAATTTAGCTATCAAAATTGGTTAAGTAAAAGGATTATTTTGTTTTATTTTCAAATATGAGGATCCAATTTATAATTTACTCAAGTATAATGTTGAAAAGAAATTGATAAATTAGGCAATTATTACCCAAGATATAATTAAATGTTAAAATATCATAAAATAAATTTTTTTTGATGAAATAACACAGTTTAAAATATCACGATTCAGAAACATAATATTTAATATATATTTTATTTTAGAACCATCACATTAATAAAATGTGGTAGTTATGAATCGTGATATTCTTAATGAAATCGTTTTAAAAAACAACCAGATATCTAACAAAATAATTAGACTATAACCAAAATAATTAGATTATTTTAGTTAACGAAGTTTTTAGGTCATTTTTATGTTTTAAGCTTAAACAAATTAATGAAATTATAGTTTTTATTAATACAAAGTTTTTATTTATTTTATGATTTTAGAGAGTTGAAATATTTTTAATTTTATTAAAATTTGAACTGAGTTTCTTCTACATAGGAACTATATTCAAAATTTTATCCAACTTAAAAAAAAACTGTAAAAAACTATAATAACCACAATCAACAAATTTTAACTAAATTTAGCATATTCTCATATTCCAGATCACAAGTAGCCAAAGAATGCAAAAAAAAAAATATCATATATACATGCAAAATGAATATGAAAATTTTAAAATATATAAATATAACTCATCTATCTATTTATACCTATGTCATTTACTGGATGATTCAAATTCATCAATAGCACGGCCGGATCTAGCTTTTACCCTAGCCTGAGTGGTCTTATTCTATATCATGACACTATCAAGAATTAACTTTTCTCCAAAGATTTTAAGTTCAGTGTACCAAATATTTAACTACCTAGATGCTATGATATAAACTTTATTTTCTTCATTAGTATTACGGAAATAAAATATGACCTCTCGACCCTCTCACAAGAAATAAATAAAATATTAATATTAAATTAAAATATAAATATATAAAACTCAATGGTTATCATATTATTAATTATAAAAAAAGTTTATTACTTAGTTGATGTTGGATTTGTCGGGCTCTATACTAATACCATATCATATATTTCTTGTTACTAGTACCATATCATATGTCCGTGGCACCAAAAACCTTTGAGAGAGCTAAAAACTGTTCATCTCTAGCGCCACCACTTAAGGAGTTCTGGGAGTGGGAGATAGGTGATTGGAGGAAAAGTAGAGGCATGCGAATTATGGCTGTTGACAGAGGGCATGTTTCATGCCTGACATTGACTTCAAATCAGGAACCGAAAAAACCATTGTGTTGCCCACATTTCCACTAGACTCCCGCTTCATGTCAACATCTTTATTCCATCAGATGTATGAATGTCAACATATGGTCCCTTTTTCTTTCAAAACAATCAGATGTATAGTGTTTTCCATTTCTCCAATTATGTCAGTTGTGGCTAGGATCTATGACACAAGACCAGGAAGTCCCCATTTGATCATGGTGACAACCATGACCAAGTTTGTGAAGGATGTATCAAGGGGAGACATTTATGCAGCTGCATGGAATTATAAAGCCTTTGAGGATCCATCTCCTGATAGATTTTGGCTGCAAATCGAAGTAACTGATGCAATGGGAAGATCAACTTTGTCTGAACTAAGGCCATTTTCTGTAAATGGTCCAAGTGCTAGGATCTCATGGACATGGAAGGAATTTTGTGTCATGGGTTGTCAATGGGCTGCCTTGTACTACCCAATATTCTGGTCTGCTATATATTTAATGCTCTCCATTCTTCTCATTCCAAAAATTTGCCTCATTTTCTCTAAGGAGCAGTGCTCTTACAAGACCTCCATTTGTGAAAAAGGCTTAATAAATTGTATAGCTTGGGTTCTGCAGGATTCCTGTGGTGTGGTTTGGTATTTTAGGATACTTGATCTACCTTATTTCATGTCCCAGGCATATTGGGCAAGTTTTCACTGATGGTGAGAACAGGGGGTACATGACCTACATGGGATGAGTTGTGAAAAATTTCAATAACAGTGAAAAACACGAGTATATTGGATCTCCAGTATTATGCTGGTTGTGCTTTCCCATTTCTTCTTTGTGGTTATACCTTCTATGTTGGTTGCTGGAGCATTGGCTGCTGAAAGAGGTATCTACAAAGAGCATTTTCTATCACTTTCAGGCAAGAAAGTAGATGATGATTCTAGTCAGAAGAATAAGAGACCAGTAAAGTATGATAATCAAAGATGTAGAATATCTAAATTTCTTTTCGTGGAGAGGTTGTTTCGGAAAATTCTCTTGGTGGTTTGCTTCGCGATTTGTTGGAAACATTTTATGGTGAGTATCAACTCTGTTCTATTATATGTGCACATCGTGCCTACAAAAAATGCATGCATTGCGTCTCATCACGTAGTAGTAGCCACTGCCATTATTTTACTAGAAAGTTGAAAGTGATGGATTACTAAACCAGTAAACCACTAATTGCTTAGTCAGCGATGATTGTTACATAATGTAAGTAGAGTATTGGCTTATGGAGTTAGGAAAATTTTTATTAATGACCAAGCCATTTTTTCATTGCTTTTTAAGGATTATACCTCTTATTCCGGTAACCAATTTGGAAATGATACTTATTCAAAATCCCATCGAATATGATCGGATATGATATGCTTGAGTGCATGGTAAAATGACTGTACTTTGAATCATGCAAGCAACCCGCCTTGAATTTGGAAACGTATAAAAACGCTGGATGGCAGTTTATTAGATTTGATCATCTCATCTCTTTTCTAACTTTGGTTGCTTGTCTCACAGAATTGCAGAGTTCTCATAAAAGCATATGAAATGAACCCATTGCTTCACTTTCCAGTGTATAGCCTTGCAATTCCATTGCTGTTGGCTTATGCCGTATACAAAACCAGAAGTATTCAATGAACTCTCTGCCCAAAGTAAGCCTTGCTCAGCACCATCGAATCAGAAGGCAATTTTTTATTAGTTACCACAGGACACACGGGAGAGGCGGGATGACATAGATTGACACTACACTTGACTTCAAGCTATTTGAAGATGCAAATTGTTGAGCAAAAACAAGTGTGTGGAGGACTGACATGTTTATGGTAGCCGGCCCTGGATGGTATGCGATCAAGAGACTTCCTAGTTGACTTATGTTTGGCTTTCTAGGATAGGAAGTTACAGTTTTTAGTGCATGACTAATACGATTGCAAGCAAGTTACGAGGAATGGAGTAACAACGTTTTCATGCCTAAATTTTCAATCGAAGTACTGTTGCAATTTATTTATTTTTGATTCAGATGATTATTTTGTCCTCAACATTACTTAGTTTCTAAAAGAAAGAAAGAAAGGGAATGCACATTATTTTTGCATAATAACAAGCGTAAAGATAACAGGTGGATCATGAGGTTGTCATGGACCATGCTTTTCGTAGCGTTTTAAGAGAAGAGTAATTGCACTTCAGTTTCGACAGACCAAATCCTGTGTCGTTCTATCTTTATTGGGGCATCTATAAAGGGAAACATGCTTTTGCGCACTTGTCAAGGGCATTTGATTGCTTATCTACTCATGTCCATTTGTTGCAAAAAGCATCTCCTTCCATGGAACTTTGCCCAAGACTGCAACATGCCGGGAAATACCTCTCCTTCGATAGGGTAACTTGCCTTTAAATATCTGAATTTGCAGAGTTGTGACAAAACTAATGATCTCTCCGGCTGGTTTGCTGTGTCTTCATTTTGCTGCTCATATTACTCAGCTGCAAAGGCTTACTATTCGTTGTACAGACAAAACATCCACCGGGGATGAATTATCTGTGAGCATAACCTGATCGACTAGACGAAGCATGCTTCTAGTTCGTGACGAATATTGATGAAAACATCCTAGATAGCATACCGACAGACTAAATGGAGTCGCGCCACGAATGGAAGAAACTACGCGACATCAGATTATTGAAAAAGAAAGGAGGCATAGGGAGAAACCAAGAGTTAAAAATATATTATAAGCATATAAATATTACACAATAAGGCTGTTTGTCTGCCAGATCCAAGTCAAGATTAATGGTGCGACATATGTTTATTTCATTCTACCTGGGGCAATGCAAGCCTATTGTCCCCCAAGTTGATTTTTACTTGTACAAAGCACTTGAAAGCACTAAGAACAGCTACTGGTAACATCAATAAATGATCATAAGATTACAGATGAATGCACTTTGCATGGATCCTGATTCATCATACCCTTATAACTTAACATGGAAACGATCACATAAACTATATACAGCTGATTCCAGAAACAAGACAGACAACGAGATGTGTTTTCTTTCCCTTGCCACCCTTTCCTCATATTTCTGTTCTCTATTTTTGCAGTTCAGGTTTTGCAACCGAGAGATCAAAAGAGCCCATTTTGCACTTTCCCCAGCAATGCTTGTAAGGGTCTTCCTTGCTACAACTGAACAGGGAAAGAGGCCAAGCTGATGACTCATCCGGGTGGCCAATCTAGTAGGAAATGAGATTTACCGACGTTGTTGGCACATTGCACAAATGGTAGCCGGCTTGATATTTGCAAAGGTGCAATATTCACAGGACCAGTGGCCTGGCTCATCAATGTTTCTACTAGGGCCACTTGACCTAGATGTTGAGCCCTTGCCTCTACCAGCTCTTGCCCTACTGCTACCACCTCCCAAGCTCTTCGAGCTTGCCATTCTGCTGCATGCACCATGGGAATCCACATCTGATAGACCATTCTCTAGAGCCCGGACTAAATTCTCAAAGTAGTTCCTAGTTACACTTCACAGAAAAACAATAACAAAGAAAATCCATCAACTAAAAATTCAATAAGCAAGGACAGGAGAAAGACAAATAAGTAATTTTCAGTCCCCTCTCCGCCAAGAATACTTTGACTGATTCCTACAGGTTCTGATTTGGGCTAAGTTACTCATAAAAAAAACTATTTTTCTAGCAACGTTTCAATCTAAATATAAAAATAAAAATACCTGGTCAACCCAGCAAGTTTAGTGCGGAACTCATTAAAATCTTTCGACGGGCCCTCTGCATTTAGGTAAATCTGAAGCTCCTTCTCTGCACATTGATGCAGTCGTTCCAATCCAGACTCGGCCTCACCTGTGTAAATGGCATTAATCAAAACACAGAAGGGTTGAACTGTCTGCATTGAATAGAAAAAAATGACCTACCTTGTAAATACTCGAAGAAAAGTCTCTTGGCATGTTCATGCTCAGGCAAATAGTATCCATAGGCATAGGTCCATTTTAGAACTCTCCTACATTCAACTATCTGCAGACAGGCAACAAATAATATCACACAAAAACAAACAAAAAAGAATCATTCTACAGAACTTAAACTTTACTACTATTTTTCCACTAAATGACATGGCATTTTGTGACTGGTACACCAAACATTCCATTCCAAAATTATAATTGTGTCATTAAAAGTGAAAAGATTTGCATCCCATTTTTTGAAAAACTATCCTATATTATAAACGTAGTGTTGTCAAGTATATTTTAGTACAAACTTTAAATATGCTTAGCATTGCTCAACAAGAAATAGACATATTTGTACTCATACAGGACCACTTACCTGTAGCCAGGCCTCTATTATGAACTTCAGCTGTGACTCAGGTTGGCATTGTATGTCACTCAGCTTCTCAAGCTACAAAAACACAAAATCAATATGCTTGTATGTACCCATGTATATCACGGGTTCCCTAAGGGAATATGATCAACTTCAAATTGCTCAAGAAGGTGCAATCATCCATGATTAAAATTGATTCTACAATAAATCTGTAACAATTCCACAAGCATGGTATCTAGTGGGGGTGCCCAATAATCCGGAGATATTTCCAAAGAGGAAATGATAATTTTATGGCTTCATGTTTCTGGGTTGCTACCACAACATCTAGGTTGACATTACCCAAAGCAACTTAAGGAAAACAATCCACTGATCAACAAGTTATGCCTTCCAGTAAAAATTACTCTCAAGGAATCAACACTGCTAGGATTGCTGACCAGCAACAGTAAGTAGTGCTTACATGTACATTTTGCATTTGCTGTAGGTCTGCCAGTGCCTTCTGCCGAGACTGCAGGGAGAACAGAAAAATTAGGAATTAAATTTGGAAATGCCAAGGATTCAGATTTGTAATGTGTCTAGTGAGATTAGGAATGCAATATCACACAAAATATTAAGAAATACTAAGAAATCATAGCATTACCAAGTAGAAAACAGTAGCCACTTGATCCATTGATTATATTTAATCAATACAAGTTTGTGCAGCTACTAGATCTCCAATCTCTTCCCTGTTTGAGCTGTCATTCTTGGAATCATTGGAGCAATTATTTTGGTGACTTGGTTTTTTGAAGTTAATCTTTCGATTAATATGGGTTTTAGGATTTTTTTTATTTTTTTTTATTTTGATTTTAGGTTCATGTCCTTAGAAACAGTTTAAATGAAATTTACTGGGATTATTTTCTTATGCGATGAAGCTCATGTGTTTCAGACTTCCTCTGATCAACTGACAGGTCTCCAGGCCATCCCGTGATGTTCATGTGATGAATAAGCAGACAGGAGGTTACAAATATTATCAATCAGAGCAACGCACATTTCAACAAAATTTGGGAGAATTACCAAAAATGGGACACAGAATGAATTGACTTTTCCATCAAGCAAAGGAAGCTAATTAGAGCTCTCAAACAAAAATCTCAAAACAAGAATGCTCCAAACTCTAATCCTCTATATCCATTCCTCAGTTTCATATTTCACCCAAAGTTCATGTTTCCTCAAAATGACTCCAGTTTTAATGACCAAAGTTCATCCTAAAAGTTTAGGGTCATCTCCACCAAAGATATTTCTACGAATATCACAAAGTTTAAACAGTGCTTCCTAGAAAGTTTTCTGTTCAATATGTCAACAAACAAATGATCCAAACAAATGATCTGGAGGTCACCTTATAACAGAGAGATAAGACAATATCATGAGGAATAAGTTTCCATGTAAAAAGGTCAGCTGCTTGTACTTACTGTTTGGTTGGTTGCCCATCTTTCATAATAATGAGTGTATCTCTCCAGGGAGTTTTTAGCCATTTCTCTTCGCTTCTCAGCCTCGTCATACTGCAACAGGAAGAACCAATTGATGCAACATCAGATGACTATACAAGTCTACTTCAGAATTATCAGAAGACATGCAAAATGTCTGATGACAAATAATCAGCATACCACTCCCTCTTGCTTTGCAGTCTCATAACGGTTACATGCATAAAAACCACCAGTCTTCTCTCCATGATCTGACCATGCACCAAGGCAAAGCCTGCAATCACATGTAACAAAATGGGGGTGCTTAGAAATGCCCAGGCAAATAGCTTTCTTTCTTTCTTTTATTTATTTTAAGGAGAAGAAAGCAGAGAGGAAGTTTAAAACAAACACTGATACAGATATAGGCATTTAAATCATATAAGCTGATCTCTTACTGAGTTCATGGTGTTATTATTAAGATTAAAAAGATGCACTAAATCATCAAATCTGTTCCTGGAGAGAAATGATGCCAGATTTAAATAGAAAATGAGGTTGTGATAGTGCAATTCTGTAACAAAGGAATTTTGATGTTGCCAAGGCATACAGAATAAGATTGCCTGGTTGAGGGAAAGGGAGACGGAGAGGGAGAAAGCACAACTTTTGTGCTATCTTACCAACAAAACTCAAATTTGCAAGGTGGTGTGCATGTAATATGCATACAGCCTTGGTTTTTCTCAATCGGTCGCTTGCATTTCGGGCAAGGCTTGGAATTAGCCAATATCCTGAAATTCAATGAACAAATAATTTACCGTTAGGGGATATAAAACTTTTGAAACATATCGGGAGACATCCTGAAGACCTAATTATTATCTTGTATGAAGGTAAGTAAAACTTCACACAAATCACATGCTGATACGCAAGTGCATCATGTGTGCTTGCATTGCACTCAAACTGATAGTTGCTAGGTTAATCTACAACATAGATTTATCTGAAAAATTAAATTGCAATTCCATCTCTTGTCATATTATCTATCAACAAACTTATCTGCAGTTAGGAACTGGTCATTTTTGGGAAACAATACAAATCACAATGAGTTTCCACTTTTGAAGGTTTCTGCTTTTGGTTATCTTTACCTTGACCTAAAGCCATTAACTGGGGACATGAAAACTCTCTGCCTGCAACCTCAAAAAGCAAAACATCACATGCCGCATGGATCACAACACTGATTAATTTTTTGTATAAAGCCCAGTTGACTCCAAATGGATAGTACTGACTTTTGCCACATCAATAAAACTCTATCACAATATCAACTTCCTATCACGAGTGCTAGTTCTTGAAGCAGTCAAATAAGAGAGCTGGGTAAAATATGTGCAGTTATGGCCAAACTCTTCAGAAATGTGATAGCTATCCAGTCCCACATCCCATGCCCTAAGTTACATTCCTATTTATCCAACAAACACCATGTAGTCCTTCACGGATATCCAGCCACCAAACTAATGAATGATTAAAAAAGAACAGCTCTATGTGCAGTACTCATGTTCCATACCAGTTCATATTTTCAGACTCAGCGCTGTTCTTCAGTATCCACTTGGCCACAGTAGCACAATCAACAGGACGGTGAGCTTCCTCAGTACACTGCAAAATTAATTCCCTATGAGATACAATGCCAAGAAAAGGAACAATCAGATGTTCACAAATACAAAACTATTAAGAAAAATAATGTTTCTCAGAGAACTGCAAGAAACTCAAGGAGACTCACATTCCAGCAAAAGCTGTATGTGCAGCGGCAGATGACATCATAGCTCCCACTGCCAACAATAAAATCCACAGCATAATCACAGCCAGGAGCAGGGCACCATTTGGTCTACAAAATAACCCAAATAATATTCATTACACTGCATAAAAAAGGGGTTCACAATAAACAGGCCAAGTTTTCCTGGTTTCATGTGCGGTCATAAAATGCATAAAAAGATGACTGTCATTATCATTTTATTGTGGGAATGATTCAGACAACACTAAACTCAAAGATAAGTAGTTAAAGAATAGCAAATATAGAATCAGAATCAAAATTTGATGCAGAGCCTGACAAATCAAACTGTAAACCCTGACTTCAGCTCCCCACTAAGCTGAATCCTAAAAGTACAAATTTTCCAATCCCTGATCCTAGGTCACAAATTAAAATTATCAGAAAGCTCTAATGTAAGGCATGTTTGGAGCAAAAAAAAACAAAATGGCCTTACTCACTAGTCCCAAAGCAAAGTCACAACCGTAACGGCTACGTAGTGTGGAAAAATAGCATGCACAACCAAATACTGGTAAAGAAATAAAACTTATTTTTTATCGTTTTAATTATTCAAGTAGACAATTTATTATCTTGATGTTTATTGATCATTTCCAAACACAACTAAAAAAAGGCTCATGTTTTGGTTTATGATCACAGAAAATCTTTACTCTTTCGCACCTAGCGTCATCAAAGCTAAATCTTAGGTCAAAGGAACAATATAGTATAAAAGAAAAGGTGTTACTGTACATGCATGCAAATTTCAGAATGCAGAATTACCTTTCTATTGTCCTCAATATAAGATCTTATGAAATAACGACAATATTTATCTCTGTCTTCACTAGAAGTCAATGCAATAATCATATCTTGATCAACTGCAGCATTACAAGATGGATCAGGGCATCGCAACATCAAACATCCAGGACCATCATTAATGGCTGTGCTGATGTAACCTAAAAAGGAAAAATTGAAGATAACATTTAAAAAAAATGTAAGTATAAAGGTTAAATTAAACCAGCAAAATTTAAAATGTTGATATGAGTTCTAGCATGTGCAGTGAGCTAAAACTGTCATTGCTGTATTTCAACAACATAAGCTAGAAAAGCAATCTTCCCTGTCATTAGTTTAACAGTTTCATGAGCATATACACAAAGAAGCAATTTCCATTTTTCCTACACAACAATTACATCTGAACTTTTGGAATCTTTTTCAATTGCTATCACATAACAACTTATACAACAGAACCACTATAATTCTGACATAGTAAATTTCTTCCCGGTGCCCATTAAGATTTCAAAAACTAGATGTTTTGACATAAACACCATGACTATTACTAAATCATAAAGAATCCAACTGGAGAAAATAAACTTTCTTCCCTAGACTCACCCTGAAATACTTCTTCCAACCTTCTCAATTTATCTCATCCTCTTTGATGGTATAATTTATATTAAAAAAAAGGTGAAATGTCAAAAAATATGGATAACAGTCCCATGAAAGATAGAACAACTCTACCCTATATTCAACAACTTGACCGCCACAGTTCCTCCATTTGTGGTCCACATGTAACTCTGAGCTCAATAAATATACAGTAGACTTCAAAAACCACCTGGAAATGAGAACACCTTATCCTCACTTAGAAGAAAATGCTAGAACATGTCACCTCTAATTGCTCACATATAATAACATTTTTTTGCACTATACACCCCAGATAAATGAAAAGAACAGTGAAAAAAGAAAAATATCTCTAACAAGGAGTTTTTTTGCACATATATTCATTAATCAGCTCCTGATAACAGTAAGCCGCCCTTGAATTAATGATGAACTCCAGCTGACATTCAAAATAACACATCTTCACTATGAATTCCAAAACTGATAGGGAAAATATTTACAAATATCTCTAACAAGAAGTCTAGCAGGGCCAAAAAAATAATTATTGCCCTGCACCCCCACATCTGCTGCCAACTCTTTAGATATTAGGAATGCCACCAAATAATTCAAAGCCCAAAACCAAGTATGTTTAATTTTGCATAATAAAGTTTAGCAAAGAGATACTTTTGACTTGCTAAAATGCTCAGAACATAACAAGCATTGTAGTCAACAATGCGAAAGATGCTTAAAAGGTAATATGATTTTGGATGTTTATGGAAATAAATCACATCTTTTATGCAAAACCACCATAGTTTCACAAACGTATCAAATGAGGCAGGAACATGGGAGTAAAAAAATTTCCATTGCAATGTCTAGAATAACCTTACAATGAAACTAGCAAAGATGAGGCTTCTATGTTGTTGGGATATAACACACCTGCCCAGCATGAATTGCAAAATGGATGACCACATACAGCAGCACGTAATCTATCAGAAGGATAAGTTTCAAAACAAATCCCGCAAGTCATCTGGAAGAACAGGAACATTAATCACAACAAATTCGCAAATAAAACATAATCAAAGAAAGCAAACAAACAAGACATGAAATGCTTACTTCTCTACCATCCTGAAATCGAACAACCGGTTCCTCCAATAAACCAACAGCCCTTCGAACTTTTTCCTCATCCGCAAACCATTCATCGTGCACTTTACTCACACTCCTACAAATCCACAGAAAATACAAATATTTTTCACTAAGATGAAAACCCACAAACCAAAAAGCTCATATTACTCATTCAAACAAACAAAAAACACCATAATATCAATCCGAAACTATGTCAATCATTGCCTTACCAGTTATAGTACCGGAGAAGTATAATGGCGGCAACCTTTGTAATGGAAAGCACAGTAGCTATCCTCATAATATCATCATCCTGTCGCTGTCGTATATCTCCTTCACTCAAAATTGTATAGTTTTGCTATCACATTAAACAAAACGAAGAAAAGAGCTTCATCACAAATTCATGCCAAAAATGTAAGGATTTGACAAAAAAGAATCGAACTTTACTGATAACTACGAATCGAACTTTACTGATAACTACATAAATCACAGCTTAAAAAAGTACAGCAACAGATGGCATCAAATTGGGATGATAATTACAGAGTTTCCATTATGAGTAAGAAGTACCTGGTAGCGATGAGAGATGAGGTCATCGGAATCATCCGAGTCGTTATCGATGAACTCGTAATCGGCGACGTCAGCATCGTCGCTGTCGAATCCATCTTCTTCTCCGCCACTGTAGAAATCATCATCCGCCGATTCTGCAGCCGCGTCTTGCATATCGAACTCATCCTCCGACACCATTGATTTTGAGCTTTGCTTGATTTTGAACCCTAACAGACTGATACAATCTATATGTAATTAGAAATAGATAATTAGAGAGAGAGAGAGAGAGGGAGAGGTTGAAGTGTAGAGAATGTAAATTAGAGGAAGACGGAGGGATGAAATGGAGATTTGGCGAAGGGAGAGAAGAGAGGAAAGTGAGGGACAGGCAGGAAGAAAAGCTTTATGGATTCGGTTAGGTCTGCTTTTTTTTTTTTTTTTATCCTCTTTCTTTCTGATGTAGTAGGGAAGGGAGTGGAAACGAAGGAAAGAGAGCGAAATTAATGATTTTTTAAAACAGTATTATTATCTTTGATTGTTTTGGTTTAATTCACTTTAATTTTATTAATAAAACTCAATGAATTACTATTATTATATGGTTCCTATAAAGAAATTAAGAATAATGGAGTATATGGTAAAGATGGAATTTGATTTTTGAGTGAGAGAGAGAGAGAGAGAGAGAGAGGTGATGATGTACATAAAAGGAGGTGGGTTGATAAAAGGAGGGGGAGAGAGAGAGACTATTGCATGAAAGAGACAGCTTTTGCTTTTGTTTTAAATAATAATAATAATAATTTAGTGGAGGATGAACCGTAATAAAATAGGTTAAAACCCACAGGCAGAGTCAGTGGTTGTCCTGTAGCTTAAGTAACTGTTTGATATTATACTCGATTTTTTTTAATTTTTTATATTATGTTAATATTAAAAATAAAAAAATATTATTTACAAGTGAAAGATTATTTTAAAAAATAAAACCTATTATAATTATTAAATTCAGTCCAAGATTGACTCGATAAAAAATTAGTTCTTGAGTTACACAAATTAACTTGATTAATTTAAAACCTAAAAAAATATAAATTTAAATTAATGTAAAGGTAACTATATATAATATAAACAACTAAATTTAAAAAATTATTTTATTTTATATTAAAAAATATTATCTCCTCTTCCTCTTGTGAGCATCTTACATTTAAAAAAAAACACAATTTTGTTCAGCTGGTACTCGCAGGATGGCGTCTGGTGCAATGCCTTGCTTGAGATGGAAGCGTTCCTGAGGGAAGCGCAGGACATGGACAGTTCTTTTTTCACGCAAACGTTTGCGTGGATCCTCACGGGCTAATGATGCATTTGGGTGGCTTGTGTTTGAAATCACACTTGGACACAGGACGATTAAGGAGACATTTTTTGGTGTCTCGACCGTGATACTTCAGATTTGATCAAAACTTCATTCTTTATCCTTTCGGATCCAAGTAGAAAATGTGATTATTGAAACCATGTTTTATAAAAAATTGATTTTTTAATACTTTTAAATATATATTAATATTAAAGATAATTTTTAAAAAATATTATTTTGATATATTTTTAAATAAAAAAATCTCTTAAACCAAACAGTTATCGTACTCCTAAATATTTTCTTAGTCAAATTTACTGCTAAAAAATGAGTGCATTTTTAGAATCCAGTCTTGTTTAATGGGTTAAACAAAATTAATTCAAGCTAGATTGATAGAAAAAATTGTTTTTTTTTTGTAAGGTTTTATAGAAAAAAAATTAAAGTGAAAACATCAATCGTGAGCTGGATCTTATAGCTAGCCATGTTGATTACCTTTTATATTTTTATATTTTTTATTGCTAAATTTCAAATTAAAGTTAAAATTAAAACAACTGTGTAATTTTCTCTTTTTTTTATAAAATTAATTCTGGTCATGAATTAAAGTGATTTTTCCATTTAATAAAATAATAATTTACGAACAATTTTTTACTCAAACCGGCTAGTCAACTGATAATGATAAAATGTAGCCCATAAAGTTGATAAAAAAAAAACGATCAAAACATTTATTTGGTAACAATCAGAAAGTAATAAAAACCCAAAGAAATGGTAAAATGAAAGGCTGTTTTCACGACAATTTGGAAAATATTCTGAAATCTAATTTTACTAGACAAAGTATAGTTAGAGAACTGTACAATCCACGAACTGTTGATTAAAAATCTCATTATCTGAATTTAAACGAAATATCTTCTATTTAATGTTTAATATAGTGCAAACGTATTTCTGAAAAAATTATATTTTTTTGTTAGAAATTAATTTTTTATATGTTTTGGATTATTTTAATATACTAATCTGAAAAATAATTTTTTAAAAATTTAAAAATATTATTTTAATATATTTTAATATAAAAAATATTTTAAAAAACAATCATAATCACAACCTCCAATAACATTTATTTTGCTTAACTAAATAAAGAAAATAACTGGAAACGGAAGACAGGTAAAAAAACGAATCAATTACACTGCTTAATAATCAAGTGTAAAGAGCTAATTACAAAAAGTGTGTGTGTGTATATATTCTTGATTTGGATCTCATCATTTAAATATTCAATTTATAATTAGTATATTTAACTCAAAAATATATTATAATAATATTTTTTTATTTTTAAAAATTACTTTTAATATCAATATATTAAAATAATCTAAAAACATCAAAAAAATATAAATTTAAAGTAAAAAAAATTAAATTTTTATAAAAACACTTTTAAAATACAACACAGATTAAGTTCTTCACCATTATTTGACTCTTGAAAATGACAGCTAACGTTATATAATGTCTAAAATATATTCACGATTTTTTTTTTATAAAAAAAACAACAATAACATGTGAGGTCAAGGGAACATGTAATAAGATCTAAGAATAAGAAAGGCTTTAATCCAGGCTGGGGCTGGTTAAGCCAGCATTGGCTTGAGGCGCAGCATCTTTGTCCCATACAAAACAGGCTTCGTAATGGTCTATCAGAACGAGTCAAGACCAGGGGCCCCATGCATGTTATTGCAATTTGGAGCGGAACTGTAAAAGGCGTAACAAAGCTTTGCGGAACCATTGCCTAGTAATCAAAAGGTACAGCACATCGATAATGGAGCAACCTTCCCAATGAAATCAACACATCAAGTTTCATCGATGCAAGAGGCTGCCACCACAGTTCAAAACAAACCCCCATGGTCACCACCTACGAGCGGCTGGTCCCCAACCCCTGGTGGTATTGAGAAGAAGTGGCTTTGACTTTTTTATCATAGCAATGACCAAAAGATCATAAAAACTGAAAGAGTTAATGGTGCTCAAAAACTCGGATTTCAAATTAATACAAAAGGAGTCCCAAGAATTCTATGCTTCCGAGCCTGCACTATTTTTCAGAGCATCGATCCAAGATATCTACACGGAATTTACAGAAAATAACATTTACAGGAGGGGGGGGAGGGGTGTAAAAGTACAAAATTGGCCACAGCTCACAACGAAATTGTTCTTTTCCTGTCTGAGAAACTCGGTGATATCAGTGCCCCCGGCGCTTGAAAGATGGTTAGCGGACACTTTCTCAGTGAATGCTTAACGGGCAATGATGTAGGGAATCCTAATATGAAATAAATAATTTATTTTACACAGCATATATACTATTGTGTTGCAAAAGCCGGCAATATTCTCAGCTATATTTATACATACATACGAATGTACAGACCAAGAGCATCTCGCTACTAATTTGGGCCTTTTGTCACTGATTCTGTGCTTTCAGTTGTGATGTTGTGTTTCTCAGCTTTTGCCAATAATTTTCATGAGATCCTTCACATTCGGATGTTCTATTGTTCCATGTGTGACAGGCAAAACTTTAGACAGTGAATAAATAAGCTCAGGTAGAAAAGCCTAATAGAACGTCTTCATGAATATCTTCGATCAGTGCAAGGCACCATGCCTCTAAATATTTTTGCGCGCATGTCTAAGGTCCTAACTCTTGTAGTTGCCAACTAGACCACCAGAACAGACTCGGGGAATTTCATTCATAGGTAGATTATCTGTGCATCCATGCAATATCAGTTGTTGCGGGGGGGTCCTTGTCTTTGTGGGGAAAAAGCAAGTCTACTAGCTGCTATAGCTTAAGCATCAGAAAACAATAGTGTGGATCCTAGCCACTGAAAACTCTATATGGGAAGCAGAGGTGCCTTCTCATCATGTCCAACATGATGACTAGCCTGGATGGGAAATAGCAAAACAAGATGTTATAAATCATGTTTCATCTATAATCTCTGAAAGACCATTTGAACAGAATTGAAAATGAAGCTTCTTACATCATCATTGGCTCCAGCTGTCATATTTATGAAGGATGAATCCTTAGACCTGGCATATCAAATGGAATTTCAGGGAAAATATCAACTACAATATCAGGACGAGTCAAAAGTAGCTCAAAACCTTATTTTTTAAGGACATAAAAGAAAACTTCTCACATGGAAACGGGGTAACACAGATGATATGAACGCTAGTGCCATTCTCATTGAAAACATGAAAGGTGACCTACTGACAAAAGGTGTGGTGTGGGATCCACAAACAAGATTTCAAGAAAATGAATAAGAATTGGGTTGACTAAGGGAAAAGACATGGTTCGATGGTCATGGAAACTGATCGAAAACTTTCTTTAACCCAGGAAAGCCACAACACCTTTATGCCTTATAAATTGGGAATTGAGTTTCAAACATCCATGGTGCATGGTCTCAAGCATTTCCTTCATTGTTATTCAAACATTCCACGTGCTTGTGTGCAAACAGATGAGATAGTTTTGACTGAGTAGAACATGATAACCTGACCTGAAGGCAGGATGGGCTTTTTATAAAGTCAACTTCAACTTCAATGGAATCAAAATACTATGTTTATATATAGGCATCCTGTCTCCTCAACAGTATTCTGATCCTAGGGAGGCAAGGTCAGAGCTGGAAAGACATGAGATGGAGTGCCTTTACAAAAAATGCCACGTGTATGTAGGCCATCCTGGAATTCCACTCCATTCCAGAACAGAAGACCAAGGCCTGTCCATTTCTTGACTAGCTAAAGCAATAAATTAAACAAATAAATAAAACAGGAATGAAAATGGCTGCATTCATAAAAAGACTAGTGGTGCTGCCATCGTGTAGGAACAAAATTCTGTTTTTTAGAAAAAACATTAATACTCTGATTTCAGTTAAGTGCTATCCCTAATGATTATGGAACAATTCACGAATGGTAAATGAGCAAGTGCAAAAAGAGCAAGAACCAACCTCTGGCTGTTCTGACTATCAACCATTTCCAGACTATCATCCCGTGGTTCATCCTTAACCTTTGAATGTGGTGAAAAGAACTGAAAAGGATACGATACACAGCATTCCGTAAGCCAAGTTTCCAGACAAGTGGTGAAATGAACTGAAAAGGATATGATACACGGCATTCTGTAAGCCAAGTTTCTAGAAAAGTAAATAATCCTTATCCTTCTCCCTCGCCCCATCTTCTTACCATCCTTCCCTTCTCCAGTGAACAAAATAAATGCAAGGTCTAATATTTACCTGGTGCATGGAGATAAATACAATAGAGATTCCTAAGATAAAATTCATTGTCAGGGCATGACCAAAAAGTACAGCAGATGCTATTCCTGTAAAAATTGTTGCTACTGTTGACGAGTACTTTTTCAAAATTGTATCTGCATGAATCAGAGGAAATTTTGATTATAAAAAAAAAAAAAAGCATGCAGCATAAATAAGATTGATCTCATTAACACAAGCACTGGAGATAAATGATTCAAGTCTAGAAAGTACCCTCTTAGTCATGTTCATAAATTCTTCTGGTCTCTTGTTCCAATTTCCACTAATTGTGAACAAGATATGTTTAAATACAATGAGGGCCTATTCATGTATGGATACTCAAACGTCATCTTTGTGTTTGATTAGTGACAGAAACTGGCATAATTCCAGTATAAGCATTAAAATATGTGATTTTTCCAAGTGCTATCAATTGTCTAAATTCTGAGTAAATTCTTAGTTATTGATTCTTCACAATCTTCTAAATGTTAAGACTTAGTTGAATCGTTATTTACCTCCAAATATTTTTGTCAATCAAAACTTTTGACAACAGCACACTTGTTGATGTTTTAAATGGTTGTGTTTTGGAAAGAAAATTAAGTGTAAAGTGTGAGGCCTCATCCTTTAATCCTCAGAAAACAGCCACCTTAGATTTTAACAAGACAAAAGGAAAAGAACAGTATAATGCTGTTAGCTCTGTTCTTAAACCTATCCGAAGATTATCTAATTTCAATGAATCAACTAGATCCAGTAAGCTTTTCTCTTTTAGCAAACCGGTTCTCTGGTTGTTTGTTTACATCAATTCAACAGATGAAACATCATAGACATGCATAAAACAGATGAAAGACTTATGAATGAAGAATATCAAAGAACAGAATGGAAAATCACCTGCATATTTGAAAAAGAAAGATGATAAAATCCCTTGTGCTGCATTGTTACATATCAACAGCATGGTAGCTCTTGAATGCCCATGTAGTATATCCAAGCTGCTAGTACCTAAAATATAGAGATGGAAATTTAAGCAAAAAATTAAATTTACACAAACTTGTACAACCAAGAAGTAGCGTTTCTGATTCATTAATACTCATTGCTTGTGTTATAGTACTAACTTCCCAAATCCAACAATCAGGCAGCGCATACAAACCCACATAGAGGAAAGGCAAACATGTGAGATAAACAGAACCAAATAAATCTAGGTCATAATTGAAAGTTGGTTCTCCACCAAACAAAATAAACAGAACTTCATGCAAATGGAATACCTTGTTAGAACAAGCACTCATGAGCAACAAGCAGCAAATGCATACCTTTAAATATGGCAGTCACAAGAATGGCTAGGAAGTTGAATATGGCACCATATCCATACAGGAAAAGGTTCTGAAAACCATGGAACAGAGACTTTCTTGTAAGAGATGAATGAAATGGTCACTAAAGCTTTCAAAAAGAAAGAAAGAATAAACAGTCAGTTTCTATCATGGAAATTTTCTTTGTAGGAGCATCTGGTGGTGGAAGTAACCAAAAGGCCCTGCAAAGGACCCCCACAATTCACTCAGAGGTTTGGCTGAGATGAAGGAAGCAATCCATGAGGAGAAAACTGTATACTAAATTGAAGTTACAGGTCAATATAAAACACAGCCAAAAAGCAATAAACATCATATGATATAGCACTGGAAAACACCTGAAGGTAAATGCTAGTCTCAAATTGACTCTTCAAAGCATACTCATTGTAGACTGATGCGAATGATGGAACACTAACCTGCATTAATCCAAAAGTTAGCTCCAATGATATTAAATTTTCTAGAACAACTAGGTATGTTATTGTCAAAACCAATATTCTCGATGCCATAAAACCAAACTGCAATGGGAACTGGCTAAGCTGCTGGTGAAGGAAAAAGGTGAACAAAGAACATGCAAACTCACTGATTGACATCACTTGTGAAAATTTTTAGCTATGCCTCCAGCTTAAAAATGTAACACTCCAGTATGCCCAACATATTATTGCGGAAAGCAATGGCCTTTTGAAGGCAGTGCATGGAAATGTGTATTTGGGTAATTATCCTGCAGTTATTAGCTTTTATGGCCTTGTTGGGGCTATCATACTCATCAGCCAATGAAGGGTCAAGCCAATATGTTTCTAGGAACCAAGGCAAGAGAAGAGGGTCAATCCCCAGCTTCTGTAATTGAGCAAATTTTAAAAAGCTATTTTTGTGAAAGCCATATCATTTCTTGACATATTTTCAGTCCTGCTAAATAAATATACTTAATCCTATATTTTAAAGCACAGATTTCATACATGTTCACCAAGAAAAAGTTTATCCAGCACATGTGAGACTACATGATACATATATTTTTACAGCACCCTCAACAAAGTAGATTTCCTGCCACTGCCCTGTATATATGTGTGCAGGAGAGCATCTGGTGCATATTGTTTGTTATAACTCTATTTTGCTTCTGTTCTATTCAAATGAATTTCCTTCTCCTGTTAAAAATGAAAGAATGTATATCCGATGCAAATTTGCATCCAGGCAAATGCATGTTGTGCATCAATTGCATTGTGGCTAGACATTCCAGCAATTCCACAGATGAAAACAATTTTGACAACAGTTTTAATCCATCCAGAGAAATGTTGTCGCACATGGACATTTAGTAAAGGTGAAAACCATCAAGATAGAAGATAATTGCATGCTATTAAAAAGCCTAATAACTGCACAGGAACCAAATATATTCATATCAACACAGGATAAGTTTACAGGATACTTACAAAAATTAGTGTGTACAAGTATGCTCCTGTTGCAACTGAAAGACCCATTGCAGAGGAGCCCTCGGGCAGAGTTCGTAACTGATTCACACTAATTCCAATGAGCAATAGAGCAAGAGCTTCCCACTGCCAAAAAAACGATGAACGAAAATATCACAGGTTTGGGTAAAAAAAAACACATAACATTTCAGGCACGCACCCTTTTTGGGCATCCAACTATTCTTCCTCAAATTCAGAGTTAAATTTGATATGCATTGATGAGAAACAACATATTCACCTGAATGATTGAGAATCTCCGTTTCATGATCATCTTCAACAACACAGCAATCACCAAAACCTGACGAGTTTATAATCCACAATGGAAGATTTAACATCAAATAATGCTCAAGTAAAAAGCAACAAAAACAGACAAAATGAGAAGACCATTCTATCCTTCCATGAAAAGAAGGGACACAGTCAGCCTGACAATGACAGTTTTTTTTCCTACATCTTCAACTTTCAAATCCTATTTTACAGACATATTTATCAAATGAACTCACACTGAATAAGTCTAGACACTTATTCGAAGATTAAAGAGGTGCAGATTGAGTCTTAAACAACCAATCAGAAATTCTACGCTATATTGAGCAGGAAAATAATTTACCATAAACTCGAAAGATAGTTGAAAGCACATTATTCATTATGTATGTGCTTCAGTAAAGCATACACTATATATATTTTATAACAATATCATAACTTTGAATGTCCTTTATGCACGTCATGCAGTGAGCTACCTTCAGGTTGCCCAGCATCTTCACCGTCGCAGGATTAAAGTAAAGCTGCAAAACAATAAGTAGGGAAATTAGAAATGAGAACTGCCACAATAATATGATCCAAAAAAAAAAAAATAACAGCAACAAATTATAGCTTAAAATTTTTTTAATTCTACTGAAAGAAAAAAATGAAGCACTAGTATCTTCCGAGAGTCAAGAGGAAGTTAATCACAATATGTTATGTAAAGAATATTTTGCAGATTGGTTTGTTCAGTTCAACAAGAAAAAATATACCTGCATAATAAACTTTAAATAATTGCTAATTGCATATAGGAAAGCTGGAACAGCAAGAAGCACATTGTTTCGAGCAGCCTGCAGAAGAAAAGAAATACAGCCAACATCTTAAAGTTAGTAAAATCTAATCCTGCTCAAGCACTAAAGCACTCAGAAAGTCACAAATGGAAAATGTAAATATGAAAACTGTGCATGCAAAAGAGACAGGTGAACCAGTAAAAACTAGAGGGGCTTTAAGTACAAAAACAATAATGATTTAAGCAAAATTGCAAGACAATGACCAGACAAGAAAAAAGGTGAACGAGGATACAAATAGCAATAGAAGAGACTCAACAATCAATTATGAAAAATGGATCACTTAAGGGCGCAAGTACAAAGGCCAAAAAAAAAAAATAGTATTTGAACCACAGTAATGCATTCAGATTCACCATGTTGAAGAATCTTAAACTGTCCAAAAGATACAGAGAAATGCAACTAAAAGACACCCTCTGTGAACTCACAAAAGATCCAGAATTTTCTTTTAAAAAGAAAAAGAAACGCATACCCCCAGAACAGACAAGGTTTCCCATCAGAAAATGCAATATCATATTCAGTTTCGTCTCCCTGCCTTTAGCTCCATAGACAAAGATTTTTATAGCACAAGCAATGAAAGGTGACACTTTTCTTTTCCTTCAAAGCCATAGAAAAAAGGGTAAAATTAGTTTTACAAATCAGCAAAAACCATATGCCTTGACATCAGAACCAACCATACTGATCACAAAAAGCACAATTTTTTGGCCCTTCAGTAAGCCTAAAATACACTGTTTGCGAATGAATAAAAATCAAGAGAAGGGGCAACATGCAATGCACCACTTTTGAAACTGATTTGTGATCCAGAGCATCCATAAGCCACAAGAAATCTTTTCAATGATGAAAAAAATATGTAACAGATTTAACGAATTTCCAAAAGCTAATAACATGAATTATTTTATAAGTAATAGGAAAAAAATGGAAAAGTGTAGGTAATTCCATATAAAAAGGTAAACTACACAAGGAAAACCTGTAAATATCTCTCATGATATTCACCAACCAAAACTGCAATCCTGATAAATACCAAAGTATTTTACCTGGACAAAGGTAGAGAGAGAAACAAGAGATTTCTCCCCAACTTTTTTCCGTCGAGCCTGAGAAACAAAGATCAAGAAAAATAAAAATACAGTGAAGAGATATCAAACATTTACAACAAAAATAACATAAAACACAAATCTACAACCATGATTCACAAGAAAGTCTAGGACACATCCATTGACATGTTTCTCACGCCAATGCTGGTTCCAAGCTTTTGAATAAACGCTTTTCTAGCATTATTGTCAAGGTACCTTTTCCTATATCAGTCCCTTCCTCAATTACCGTTTTACCAAAAGAAAGCATTGCTAATGTGGCTCTTCCCGTTCCTCCAATGTGTCAGCTCTCTATCCTAGTTTCATGCACTAAAACTCTAATTGCAAAATGGAAACAATAACTTCCAAAGGATCCTGATTTTCTGTGGGATTCAGTTAATTATAGAAAACATATCATTCTAATGTATGATATCATATGGCGAAACAACATAGATCTGTCCATGCTTACAAAAGTCTGTACCCCATCGTATTTTTCTTATCCTTATAAGGTCCAGTGCCGCTTCAAGTTCCATTCTTTGTCTAGGGCTTATGTATGATACACAACTAAGCTCCATTCTAATGTATGATACACAACTCACGAGGGATTAATTGGATTGAAGTATGTAAGAGCAATTAAAAGGTAACAATTGAGCAAGATGTAAAATTATTATTCCTCCCCAGTCTAAGATATATCTGCAACAGTAATTTCATCACCTCTTCTTCTTCTTTTTTTCATTTGCACCGTTAGTCGTAAATCACCGCTGCTTCTATATTAGTACAAAAAAACTCTCTTTTCATTCCTTTTTCTCTTTTTCGATAGAGCCAGAACTTGTATGTCATTTAAGCCAAAACCCAACAAAGATAGCATTCAGTTGCATTGACAGAACAGAAGCAATTAATGAAAAGATTGATAATGAGCAGGTATATACCTACCTGGATCAAGAGCATAAAAATTGCAAAAAAAACTTTTGCAGTCTCGGTCAAGAAATTAACACTTGTGGGGCTAAACTCGAATTTCCCATCCTCCTTTGACATATACACCAATATTGGCTGCAGCATAACAGTAACAAAAATTAAGTAAAACTATTTTACCGGTATTTCACAAGAAAGAAAAGGAAAGAAAGAAAATCACCTGGAGACCGACTAAGATGCAATCGCCAACTACCAAAAGAAGATTAAGAAAGCGTGTTTTAGACGACACATCGCTTCTATGTCTATCGTATGCTCTGGCCACTGCTTTGCTGTTGTTATTATTTGCTGATATTTTCGAGTGGCATACGCTGCATTCTATCATGTCTGCTCCTTCCATCACCAAATATAATTAAAAAAATCACATTTCCACTCCAAAAAAAAAAGGCCGCTTTACAGCTTTTTTTGAAGCATACCTTGAGTGAATTGGATCTTGCAGAAGTGAATACGTCGGAGATCGCAGGAGTTCAGAGGGTGGGTGGGGGGGCGAAAAAGGGAGTGAAGGAGATATCTGTTTAATAATTTTGTTTTATATATAGACTATATAATATTAGTGAAAAGGAGAGCGATGAAATATAGTAGTCACTCGCTGCTTTCCGGTTCTTTCTCTCTCTTTAATTGTTTTATTTATTTTATAACTTTGTTTTCTGAACTTTATGGAAAAAAAAAATTAATTATTATTAATAGTTTTTATAAAAGTGGTGGAAATAGATGAGTTATATATTTTTTTTTAATAAGAATGGAATATTAGGAAACATCATATGCAGGGTGACTGCCCCCCTTGAAAATTTTTTTCCTATTGAATAATTGTAAATTTTATCTTTAAAATTAGTAAATTAACCCCTCTTAAAAGTTTAATATCATCAGTAAGCCACTGAGATATTAGCAATGTAATTATCTTATAGTCTCATAAAAGTAAGATCCATATATTCTCCTTAGGAAATTTTTTTTTTTTTTATTAATGCTTGATAACCTCTATTGTCCCTTTTGAAACAATTATTATATATTATTTGAATCATATATCCTCTCCGGTGAAAATAATTTGCATTAATGACGCTGGTATAATTGCCTCCTAATCCCATTATAATTGAAACTAAATTTATTACTCCAGTGTATTTTCATGAAATTGGTAATGGGGTGTTTGTATTTGGCATTAAAAATAAATTAAGGACTTGAGATAGTATTGGAGTTGATTTGGTAAGGACTTGAGATAGTATTGGAGTTGATTTAAAAAATAATTAAGAAAATGATATATGACCCTATATTGCGGCACGTAATCAAGAAATATCTCTGCAAGTTTTATAAAAAATGAAATTCTTAAAGCTTACCAAAAGCATAAGATTTTGTATGCACAGAAACACAGTTGTCCGTGATGGTGGTTTTTTCTAAAACTAATTAGTAATTACCATCCACAGAGATGGTGATGTGATGTGATGCATGATGTTACTCAATGAATGACATTATTTAGTTAAAAAGACGAAGAGAGGATGAGAAAAGGAGACTCTTTTCCAGAAGAGCATTTAACTGGCAGAAATTAGGAACAAAGGGACATGGCAACGATGAAAATAGGAACAATGGATGCACCACTAAACTGCAGAAGCAGACACAAAGGTGAAGACACTTGATGTTCAATGAAATAAAAAAGCTCCTCTGTCAGGTGGCAAATTTATGTAAAATGATAGGGCATAGCCTTCACTGTCTGCTCGCCCTACACGAACAAATTTAACATCTGTCAGCAAATATATCTGGTTACTACAGCTGCGGATTTTAGCAAAGTTCCATGTGGTAATGTTATCTCCCCGAGACACAAAACAGGAATGGGACTCGTTAGAAATGAGATTCAGCGAAGTTAAAAATTTCTATCTTGCTAATTCCTGTGAAATGCAACTTGTCATCTTCTAAATTTTTAAGGCAAAAATACAGGAATGTATATCTGCAATTATAATTGAAAAAATATGCACGGACCTAAATACAGTGCACAATGTCCACGCATGCTCAGACAGCTGAAGCTTTGAGGGAAAGAAAATCAGAAATTTTGTTGGTGTAGAAATCTGGTTTGATGGAGTTGCTTGGACTTTGAAGCATCGACAATGAGGTCACACCTTTTTGAAAGAAAAACCTCAATTAGAGCACATACAATATACATGCTGAAGTTAGGAGGGGAATTTCATATTAATTTATAGTTACCGGAGAGTACAAGAAGAGTTTTGCAACCACCGTTTTGTCCAAACAGAATATCAGTATCCAATCTGTCCCCAACCATGCATATTTGTGACTTGAGAATTCTGAATCTGTTGTTGATCAGATACATGAAAATAAAATGCAAAGGTGAGGAAAACTAGATCACAATAGAGCGTTTAGATGGAAGTTCAAACCCATTTTTTATTATCATGCAACTGATAAAGAAAAGCAACCACTACTTAATGGGATTATGTTGTGCTGAAGGTAATATTGTAGTCATGAGTCAAGACCATTGTATACTTGATTGTGAAAAAATATAACTTTTTTGCAATTTCCTATACTTGTGCAAGACCAACCTTAATGACAATACATCAGTAATTTGCCTTGTATTAAAGTTGCAAGGCCTGTTTCTTAGCATGCACATGAAGGCTCCCCAGTCCCCACTTATGCATGATCGGGTGGGTTTGCATTAGACCCTAGATTACAAACTTAAAGACCAACAAATACTTGCTTATCCATGAATAATATGAATGCAAATATATGGTGGTTGGTGGGCAAGGAATCAGATAATTTGACAAATAGATGTGGATAATGATTATGCATTGTTTGAGCTGTAAGCAAACCATGCATGACTTCTCCTGAATTTGCTCAATTCAAAGAAAGCGGAGAATAAAAGAAGGAACAAAGCATCGGAAGCCCTACTTGTTTGCTAAGTAATCCATCATAAAAGTTGAGGGCTTTCCCACAACCAGTGGCTCACGCAGAGTTGAACCAACAAAAGCACCGACCATAGAACCACCGACTGAAATTATATATTAAGCACAGATTATAATGTATTCTGGAAGAAATTGTGAGGAACAGAAATAAAAATATCACGATGATTGGTTTTATATGAACAAGTCAGTCTTACCCAAGAGAAGGATGCAAGGAATTCTCATAATGTAAATCTCCAAATAGATAAGTGCAATAATTGTTGCTTGGGCCAATGCATTGCATGTGTAGTTCAAACCATAATCCCAGAGCGGGAACAAGTATACTGGAAATCTAATCCCAACCATTTCTATTCTTTTAGCAGCTCATATTTTTACATTTCTTGCAATAAGGACGATATCACATAACACTTGCTTATTAACCACATTTAAGTACATTTGAACCTTCTAGCTAACAATACATAAGTACAGCCTTGGCCTATTTTTAAGTCCACGAACTCAAAGTCCTGGACTGGCATGTTATTATCACTTATTGATGCCAAAATCACATAGATGGAACTGGTTTGAATTTCATATTTTCAGAACTTGCAATTTAATGCTTGGAAGGATCGCAGACAACTCTAGTTTACTCATTTTACTGATATTCAGCTCTTCAAAAGGTCAAGGGTGTACAAGTCTTCTAACGCCACATTTCTCATTTGAAATCGGTATCAAGCTGAATATTGGAGATCATTGCATATCTTGTTTTCTATACATCATGCATCACAACCTACATAACCTGAATATGAGTAGAAATCAATGAAATGGAAAATAAATTTGTGACGAAGGGGAGAACCTGCCCATTCCTGAGCATCTGTAAGATGGGTGACTGCATCACGATTTGTAGCAATGAAGAGACATCCAGGATTTTCCCTTATACAGAGTGTTCCATACTGGACTTTGTAGTAGTTGAAATAGCGATCAAATCCAACAACAACTGCCCCAACCTAAGTAGCAATGAAGAAACATCTTTAGTATGCATAAATTTTGGGAAAAGCATGCTACCTTTTGCTCCTCAATTGCAACTATAAAACAAAGCACAACCTAAAGATGTCCTACTCAAGTTGCCTGTCAGGATATACCTTATTGAAAGGGAAAGAAAAAAGAATAGAAGTTTACATCTTTATCGTGCTCCATCAGAAACCCAGGCTTCAGCTCTATCTTTTTTCCACCATCTTCCTGTATAAGTGAACAATACAAAATAGAAATAACATGTTCATCACAAATGCTACTGCTAACTAACCAACAAGCTAGAAAATGGCATTAGCAGGAACAGAAATTATTGCAAGTAAAGGTCATTGCACGTTGCACAGTATTGAATAACTCGTGGAAATTTCTAGCTTCACTAAAAGCTGAAGATTTCAAAGCAAATATAATGCAAATTGGAACTCATACATACTGGCCCACCAAGATACTGAAATCCAGCAAGCTCGAGCTCCTTCAAGATGCCATCCTCACCAACCACATAAACCTAAAAGTCATGCACGGATATCAATTCATTATCAGCTACCACATCTCATAATCTCCACAACCATAACCACACAATTATAACAAAACCCCATTGCAAGAAATAGAAAAGGTTGTTACTTGCCTTTTTATCTTTTGGGAAATCAATTGACTTCAAATAGGTTGCAGCGGCAAAAGAAGATGCAAAAATCTCTTCCTAAAACAATTAAATAGATTCAAAACAGCTGTTAGTGAATCAAACCAAAAGAATGGAAAAGAAGGGGTTGTGACTAACCAACCTCACTGACATCAAGACCAAGGGACTCAAACTTTTTACCATATTGTTTCCTAGACTTTGTTGAGTTGTTTGTAACAAAAACTAGTCTCTTCCCCTGAAATCCAACAAAGGAAAACCCAAAATTTTACAAAAGAAAGTAAACACTGATAGCACAATAAAAGAAAAAAAAAGGGCACTATAACACAAATTAAATACAAACTCTTGAGCGGAGCATATCAAGAGTTTGAGGGACTCCATCAATCAATTTATCTCCTTTCCATAACACTCCTGCAAATCACTCACCCCTTCATTAATACATGAAAAAAAAGGTACTCTTTTTTCTCTTTTTTTAATTCTAAGAGATGAATTGACGAGAAACTTAAAAGCGAGCGAGAAACACAGACCGTCACAATCAAAGATGAAAGTCTCAACAGAACCAATGAGCTCATCTGCGTTTGTTAAAGGCTGAGCTGCTGCTGATGCTTTGGTCGTGAAATTCTCCATTCTTGTACTACACTTTCTATTCAAGTTCAAGTCTTTGTTCCATGTGGTCCAGTTAGTGAAGTAGTGGGAGAGTTTTTCCAGACCCAAGAATTTAGGGATTGTTGGGTTCACTTTGCACAGAAATCGGGACGGAGATGTTGAAAAGGTTGAAGAAACAGCAGACACTGAAACAACTGTCCTGCTTAGCATCTTTCTTACTTTATATTCTTTTATTTTCCCCTTTTGTTTTGGAAAAAAAAATTATTAAAATGTTTGTTTGTGGACGTTGTGGTTTGGGATGGTTGCCGGGGTCAGCAGCATGTGCTTCTGGGGTCAGGATGACCTGAGAGTTTGGGTGAATGGACTTTGTTCATCATCTAATTTGCGGCGAAAGGTGTCTCTCCTATTGTTTTTTTTTTTTTAAATGAGAGTTTTATTCAACTTTTCAAACTTGGATCTGTTCGGGGCTGCGGGCTTTTCATCAAATTTTATTTTTTTTCAAATTAATTTTTTTAAAGTATATTTAGATCCACTGGCTACATTCGATTCTCAGAGAATGTGGAATGGAATTCACATAACAATCATTTTTGAAAATGGGTTTACTGATAATAAATTCCTGATACAATATTTCTGGCTTAAAGTGCAGCACTTCAATCTGTGAGAACCTGCGACCAGCAATGCAAACAATAGTATTAAACAAGGAAGGGAGAAGGGATTTCTTATTCCATCCCCAATCGCAAGCAAAGCAAACTTGCACCAGATAACACCATGAACGCACAGGACATGGCCTCCCCATATAAATGAAACGGCATCCTAATTTAAAGACGCAAATGCATCTCCCAGAGCAATGCCATGAGCAAGAACATTATTGGTCATTGCTTTAACAGTTAGATCATAAAAATTCATGGAAAAATGAAAAGGTAACCGACACCAGCACACTACTAGTCGTCTGAAGTGCAGACCCAAAACCCCCTCAAATCCAACTCGCTCGCTCTCTCCAACTCTCCCATGGCCAACCCTCCTTCACCACCCCCGCCACAACCTGCCGATCCCGTAACAATCGACGGCGCAGCCGAAGACTCGGCTCTCTCATCCTCCACATATCTGACTCACCTAGAACTCGTAACTCGGCGATCTCGCCGCTCCAAACAACTCGCTCAGATCTACAGAATCCATTACTAGACCTTAATGGAAGAGCTCAAAGTCAAACACAGAGTATTACTGGAAGTATGGGAAAAGCCCATTTAAAGAAGATGAGAAAAATAAGAAAAGAAAGAGAGATTTTAACAATGATAAAGAGACTTTTGAATTGAATGCGAAATTAGGGGTCAGAGATGGGGGCGGTGAAGCAGAGGAGGAGGAGAGAGGGGAGGAAGGGTTAAGGATGTGCTTGGCTGCTGGGTGTAAAGCGAAAGCAATGGCTTTAACGAGGTTTTGTAATGCACATCTTTTGTTAGATTCTAGACAAAAGCTTTATAAAGGTTGTACCTTTGATATTAAAAGGTATATTTTTTTTTTATTTATTTATTTATGTGGGTGTCCGGGTTAGCTTGTGGGGTGATAAGCGTACACGTTAGGGCTCGAATCCAGGTGTTTTGAAAGAAGACAAGTCTTTTTTACTGCTAGTCCAAACACTGAAATACAAGGTATGTCTTTTTTTGTTTGCATTGGTTAGCTTGCGGGGGTGATAGACGTACACGTTAGGACTCGAATCCAGGTGTTTTGAAAAAAGACAAGCCCTTTCTACTGCTAGGCCAAACACTGGAATACAAGGTATGTCTTTTTTTGTTTGCATTGTGGATTGTTGTTGTGTAATGATTTGTTGCATTTGGGTTAATTTAAGTTGTTTACTAGATTGTGTATTAAGATTTTCCGGAAAGATTGTGGAAATGTGTACTGGTTGACAATGTGTTAGTTTGAAAAGGATTGTGGCTTTAGAGAATAAGATATGAAGTTTGGGTTCAAGGGTTTGATCGGTTTCAATTTCCTTTTTCTTTGGATGATTTTTGATATTGGATGCTTGTTTTTTTCAACCCCTGTACATATGTTGTTTGCTTCATATTATGTTTTGAGCCTTATGCTTCGTTACTTGGAATGTTAAGGATAAGAAAAGAATGCAAACTTTGTGGAGAAATAAGAATGACAAGATAACTTTAGAGAATCGAGAATGACAAGAAAAATAGTTCTATGATTGCGTGTTTATGTTATCTTGGAATGTTTTGAATAGCCTGCATTTTTTGCATCGCTATCCATTTTGTTCGTCTGTGTTACCTTTGTTCAATGAAGAACGCAGGAAGCGGGGAGAAAGAACTTTTTTTTATTTGATTTCTGATCCAATGGCTTTTGTAATTTTCCTTGTTTCTCAGTGTTTTAGAGGAATTTAAGTGAGACCAAACCAATTGGTGTCTTGCTCATCTTCTCTAGGGTTTATGGTGGATATTTGAAATAAAATTAAGCCGAAAATTAAAGCTACCAGTTGCTTGTTCATCTTGTACAATTTGATGATCTTCCATACTAGATTGCAATAGTGCCTTGCATTCTGTTGTTTCCAAGTGGTGTTGATCATTTACTCTCTCAGCAAACTTGTGCACCTTTTCATTGATCGCCCTGTATAGTGCAATATCTGTTCATGAGGATGCTTTATTAAAAGGAGGTCACTCGCAACATAGTGCAATAAGGTAATGTCTGGAATGCTGGATAATGATGGATATTTATATAAGATAATGCTTGGAATGTTGTGCAATGATGGACTGGTTAGGATAAATTTTTTGTGCAGTTGTTTAGTGCATATTTGTGTATCTAAGATTATTCTAGAAGAGAAATGTTTGTCTCACTAAAAAGACAGGACAAATACAAGAATTAATCTAATTAATTTGGGTCAATATAAATATATATAGTTTTAAAATGTTAATAGGAAGTTGACCTTTGACAAATAATTATTAACATAGATTATGTTGTTCATTGACCCGGGTCAACGCAAGAATAAAATAATTATTATTATAATCTTAAAACTCAATAGAGATTACTTAGAAGTCAATTCAGAGCCAGGTGTGGGTCACAGATCATCGGTTTAAACCAATTTTTATTTAAAAAACCTAATCAAACTTAATCAAAATTGATTTATTTGAGTTAGTTTCGGTTTTTTTTCAAAAAATTTTAATTTAGTTATTTTTTTAATAAAAACTAAATCAAATTAAAAATAACCGGAAAGCATGTGTTTTGCTTTTGTGCGGGGCAAGTTAATTAGTTTGAAGTATTGTAATATCTATAAGTTCGGGTTGACTATGGTTAATTTTATGATAAAAATAATTATTATTATTATAGTTTAAAACCCGACTCGGGGCTAGGCTATCAATCAAGCTTGGGTCATAAGTCAGGTTGACCATTGACTCAGATTAACATAAAAATAAAAATGGTTATTATCATAGTTAAAAAACTTAACTATGCGGTAAGAATAAAAATAGCTGCAAGTGAGGTTCTGGCCTAGCGGTGAGAGGGGCTTGTCCCTTTCCTTCGTACCTGGGTTCGAATCTCATCATGCACGCCTGTCACTCCCGCGGTGCCTTACATGCTCACTGGGCTTCCAGGATGTTCAGTGGGCTGTGGGCTTGTCCCCTTCCTCCGCACCTGGGTTCGAACCTCACCATGCACGTCTGTCACCCCCGCGGTGCCTTACCTGCTCACTGGGCTTGCAGGATGTTCAGTGGGCCGTGGGGATTAATCGTGGTACGCGTAAGCTGGCCCGGACACCCCACGTAAATCAAAAAAAAAAAAGAATAAAAATAGCTACTATTATAATTTTAAAAGTTGATTTAAAAGTTGACTTGGGGTAAGGCTCGATTCATAGGCTGGGAGGGTCAACTCAAGTTAATTTAAAATTAAAAAAAAATAAAATCAAAACAACCTTATAGATTTTTTATCCATATTTTGTTTCAAGTTGATCGGGTTGAAGTTTGACTTGAGTGTTTTCATTAGGTCAAATCTTATCAGTCCTTCCTCTCTTTTTTTTTTAAAACCTTGGACTGGTCCAGACCTTGTTTTGGTCGAGTCCTGTCCTATGAGTTTTTTTTTTTCTCATTAGTATTGAGCTCTTGATTGAATACAGGATCCTTTTGTGATCTCCTGCTGGCACAACAGTTTAGACTTTATTTCATGAGCATTGGAATCTCTATAAGCCAGTGAAAACCACAATTTCTGCTTTTGCTGTCATTTAAGTTCATATACCATGTAAGTGAGCATGAACGTATGATGTTGTCATTACCTGTGGCGTACTGCTAATTTTTCTTCACTGCGAATAGTGTTTTTTCTATAGCATGCTTGACTATTTTATTGTCCTTGCTGTACTCCTGGATGTTCAGTGCACAAGGAAGGCCTGTCCTTTGCCAGAAACCAGTTCTGTTATCAACTGTCCCCTCCCTCTGCTCAATGCATTTTCAAAAGGCTGAAAGACAGGTAACAAGAGCCTTGAAAAAGGAAGGTCTCAGTTTCTCTTCACCAAGTAAGCTTGCTCCTAAATTGCATGTGATAGTGACAGAGTTTGTCCGCCAAATCCAAACCAAAAGAAGAGCTGCACTTAAGGAAAATGTATCTGAAGATCACATTAAGGAGTATAAAATTTTCCATGGCTCTTGATTTCTATCCAGAATCTCGATGTGTATGCTTTAAAGTTATTGATGAGAGAAAATCTGGTGATATCACTAACTGGGAGGAGCTTGGATCACTGGACATATGCCTTGGAACAGAATTCCTCGTGCATACTAAAGGTACGCATTTATACTAGAGTTCTTTGCAGTTCTATAAATATTCCTGTTTAATTTGTATTTTTTGCAATACCAAAATCAATATGTCGGTTCAAGAATCATAGATCTCCTACATATCACACCTGTTTGAGGAAAATGATTTGTCACTTTTCTGTCCTTTTAGTGAGCAAGTGTGCTTTGAGTGATGGCTCTAGCAGCTGGATAATTGAGTTTTGTGTGATCATAGATATTCTTGTGGAATTTGGTCCTGGAAGCTTAAAAATTGTCTCAAGCTTCGTGTCGCTATACTTGTAAGCCCCTCTGAAACCTGGAACCGTGCGCACCATTTCTCATTATCAAACAGCCTTTCACCTTATGAAAGGGTTATGATTTAATGTACTATTTGGTAACCTCCACTCGTTTACTTGGCATTTTCCAAAAGCACGTGCCCCAGCGGACACATTACTTTCTAGTGCTAGTGTGTTTGTAATCATACACTTCGAGCCGGCTTTAGTAAATCTTCGGAACTAGACAGGAAATAGGTAGTTGCTACACGTCAATCGAATTTACTTGAATAAAACCGAGTTGTTGTTTGTTCAGGATCCCTAAGACGTATTTAATCGCAAGGTTTAGTTTCTATTTCAATTAACAGTTTAAATTTGCCTTCTTGGAGTCCTTTAAGCTCATCTGCAAAGGGCATTTTCTACAATATTTTTGGTTAAAATGCATTTTCTTTTCAGGTTCATTTGCATCACTTTGTGTGAACCAACGATTGGTCGATGGACAGTGATAATGAATTGTTTGTTGACCAAATATCAGTTGACATCAATTGACTTCCAGTTGAAATGGCTGCATGGATTTTGAGTTTCAAACAAAGCTGCCTTTGCAAACACTGAGCGACATAGGCAGATCAAGTGATAGACAAGGTGGTCACCTTGTTGTCTTCCAGTTTTCAACATGCTGCTGCCTGTCATTTGCTTGCAAAAACTTGTGGACAGTTGAGACCCATTTAATAATCAGAACAAGTCCTCAAAATATGAAGCTGTGAATGGATTTTCTCATAGACAAATGATTCTTGGTTTCTTTTCTTGACATTTTATCATTTCTGTTTGCAGGTGTTGGATGTACATAATACATATTCTTCTGCGATGATAAATTCTATTTGATGCGTCAAAATTTAGGTTTAGCAATCTTTGCAATTCAAGAAATGCTGGTGATGTGATTGGAGATGTCATTAGTATATCTGATTGAGATTTGAAGAAGTTTTGAGGAGCAACAAATTTGTATTTCCTCTGATGGAGTTGTTGATGTTGCATCATTCACATCAATAATATGATCCATAGATTTGTATGAATTGTTGAAATAAAATTCGTTGTTCATTTATGTTCTCTACTCAATTACCTGATGATATGACAAGCATAAAATTCTCTGTAGGGGAGATTCAGGGGCAGAGACGACAAACAAAGCCTACGAACACTTGTTAGATAGAAAACGTGATCATTTGCAAATCTCAACAGTTGTTGAAATCATTTTATTTATTGTGAATATGATGATGGCTTAAGTAGTATAATGAACACAATCAAGAATGGTTCACAGCGTGCATGCACGAAAACTTACTTGAATAGTGTGCTAGAGAATTCATGTAAAAACATAATCTTGAATTTGCATACAGACTATTTTTGTATCAATTTTACTACAATAAATTGATTTTTCAACAAGCAATTTTGTTAATAGTCACTTAGCATAAAATTTTAATCTTTCTACAAGATAATGTCATTTCTAAGCCAAAAAAAGAGTATGATTTGGATGGAAATATGGATTAAGATCCTTAACTGAGAATCTCTGAAAGCTTAGACTTAAAATTGATACAAAGATTTATTTAATGGTAAATTTGAAGCTACCTATATAGTTATTTACGTAACCTTTTCATCTTCAGAATATCCCGAGAAAGCCTAAACCTCAAGCAGTAAGACAATTGATGGCATAGTTTCAGGAAGTTTATTCAGAGAAATTGCTGTGATTAACTAACAAAATATCACCATCTCTTTCATCGTAATATAACTTTTTCTTTCAATGCTCTTGATATCTATCTGTCTACGATTGGAAGTAACAAAATATTCGTGGCAACTACTCATTGCCCCCTGCTTTAGTTGCTTTTGATCACTAAAATGGAAAATCCTTTCATCACTCGTAGAAGAAGAAGAAGAAGACATTTAAGTATTAGAACTAGGAGCTGTAGGTTGGCCACGTTAATGCTATAGAAACCCAACTGGCATGTCTATTTTGAGGAAATTGATTGGTTAACTGTTTGAATCAAAGCCGCATTTCTAGCTGCTAAGCATTGATGAAAAGTATACTTTAAGCTAGCGTGTCTCTGTCTCTGTCTCTGTCTCGGATAATATGCTAGATTTTTATTAAACCCATTCTTATCGATAAAAATGACTCAAGACTTGATCGATTCATTCCTAATCCAAACTAAGGTGTTAAATATAAGATAATTTCGAGTGTATCTGATTTAACCTGATTTGAACACCAACAACTTCCTCGTATATATTTAATAGCCGGTAATACCCCATTGGTTGATCATGGGGAGCGATCCCTGTTCAATATCAGCAGTACTTCACACCACCCCTGTATGCTGTGTATACATGGCACAAAGTTTAACAAAAACCAAACCAAATTGGTAATGGAAAACCAATGCCAAGAAACCCCTCCTCTCCTCCAAGACCTCAAGGTCACGATCCAGAATTCTTCTTTGGTTTTTGCAAACCAAGAAACTGAAAGAAAATCCATCTTCTTGTCAAAGTATAAGAACAGTAAAGGATATCTAGTTTGGTGATCATGATCGGTATACAGTAAGCAGGGCTTTGAAGATTAATGTTGCCTTGCCTTCCTCATTATGGCCATCAGAGTTACGACAATATAAAAGAAAGTGTATTAGAGACGCACTGATGGTCATTTTCACGACTTCTTCCGTTTGATTAGGGTCTAATTTCAATTATCTCAGGTTAGGTTTCGATTTCTCTGTTAAGAATTCGGAAAAATGTATGGATTCATTAGGGATTCCTCTTGATTCTATGCATAGGAGGAGGGCGTCCGGAAGAGAGAGAGCTTAGACAAAGAAGAGAGTCTGAAGATTAGGAATCTTTGTATAAAAAGTTGAGCTCTCTGAACTGAAGTGTAATTAAAGGCATAATTCTACGGGTTGGGGATATATGTTTTTTTTCTAGCAATGAAATAAAAAGCTGTTGCATGGATCCCAAGTGTGAAAATATTTATTTGAAATTTGCTTATAGCACCTGGAACTGTGCTTCTGCTACTGGAAGCCCAATAAAATGATGCCAGTGCATATTCGATATGAGAGTAGTAGCAGTCATGTGCAGATTTCAGGGACGCACAAATAATGGTCCTACGTTAAAATAACGTCCTGCCCTGTCATTTCTATTTTATGTTCTCTGTTAAAAAATCCCAAACTTTAAAAGATTTTGCTGTTAAGCTATTGGTAACATTGGTTAACAACCATTGCTCTAGGTTGTTTTGAAGTTAATTAGCACGCTTAAATGGATAGTTTTGTATTTTAATCTTTTCAATCTTTAGGCACAATAAGATCCCTTTTTGTACCTTTTTTAAGATAATTGGAAAGATTGCTATGCTCAAGTTGCGTGTCTTGTCTTTTTTAATGAAATTGTAGGCGAAAAAAGAAGCGGCAGATGCAGACTGGTGTTGATGCTGTCTCTAATGATGATAATCTTGGTACTGTTTACTTTGTCCACTGAGCTATTAATGTGATTATTTTTTTTAAAGAGAATTGGTCGAGTATTGTCCCCTGCCCCATCCCTCCCTGCCCCTGTTGTATGCAAGTGTGTCCTTTCGTTGATGTTTGGCAGAGTGCAATAAAAAAAGTTCCCTTCAAATATAATGAAAAAAATAACAGAGATTTTGTGCTCTTGAAACACAGCGCTGCCCAGCAATGTCATGTGACGAGATTGTTGTTATAAACTGTTATTAAGAAAATTCATACCGTAATAATATGTTAGATATAATAAATAAATATCTATCAAGAAAAAAGTTTGAGTTTTATAGAAAAAAGCAGGCTTAATAGAGCCTTCTAAATTAAAATTTATATTTTGATTATCAGTATAACGAATTCCTCACATATTATGTAAGGGGAAAATTTATTATGTGTGGTCTCGCACCATGTAATGAGGGAACCACCACATTAATTATCAAAAGACAGCATAGCTATCTCTTGGAATTAAAAACATAATGCTCATTGTAGAAGGTTATATAACATATTTAAAATGGATACTCACATATCCTCAAAGGTAATTCTAGTTTTAGCTTATATTTTGGTAAGAATAAACATGTGTTGGATGGATACATAGATGCAAATATAGCTGGTGATGCTGATTCTAGAAAGTTCACCTCGGGATACTTGATGAAGTTTACAAAGGGAGCAGTCTCATGGCAATCAAGGTTGTAAAAATATATTGCATTATCCACTACATAGACTGAACATATTGCTTTTATTGAAGGGGGCAAAGAGTTGTTATAAATGAAAAAATTCTTACATGAACTTGGCCTAGTTCAAGAGAATTTTATATCGCACTATGATAGTTAAAGTGCAATCTATCTTAGTAAACATTCTACTTTTCACTTTCGATCAAAGCACATTGAAATTAGATATCAATATATTTGAGATGCCATGGAGATGAAATTATTTATTGTTGAAAAGATCCATACCGATAACAACGTGTCAGACATAATGACCAAATATCTATCGAGAAAGAAGTTTGAGTTTTATAGAAGAAAAGCAGGCTTGGTAGAGCCTCCTAAATTGAAGCTTACATGTTGATCGCCAGTATGGTGAATTCTTCACATGGTACGTGAGGGGAAAATTTGTTGTGTATGGTCCCATGTCCTATGATGATGGGCCACCACATTAATTGTCTAAAGACAACATAGAATTAAAAATGTAATGTTCACTTTAGAAGGTTATATAATAGATTTGAAAAGGAGAAAATAGAAGAGAGGAGGAAAAAAAAAGAAAGAAAGGAAGAAGGAGCAGCAGAGTAGTCTATCTGTTTTCTTTTATTTCCAAGTCGTTCACTGTTGGATCGAGTTGAGATTTTGACAATAGTTTCTAGACACGTTACTCTTTATTCTAAATGATTGGATCAAAAATTGATAGTGTGGAAGCTAGCTGTTTTGATAGAAAACGGGACTGTCGGTGTTGTGAGTTTTTCTCCAATACTTTTTTTAAATCTTGTTGTATTCCTGGAATAAGTTATTCTTGATGATATATATGTTATAGTCTTTAGTTGAATTTAAGAAAAAACAGTTATGAACCTATTAGTTATTGATAGTGGAAGTTTTTAGGTGGACTACGGTCCTGTGATTTTTCTCGTATCGGATTTTCTATGTAAAAAATCTTGATGTTGATTTGTATAATTAATTATTTTATATTTATTGATTATTTAAACCTAATTTTAATTATATAAAAAAAATAAAACTTATAAATTATAAATTAATTCAGATGGGTTGATGTCTAGTTATTTATTCCTGATCTTCCTAATATAAACTTTGTGGTACGTTATTTTAGTCCTCTTTCTATACTGTCCCTTCATCATTTGATAACATGGAACGCACGATAACTTTCGTGTTCCAGAATTGAGCAATACATTTGTAATGATGAACTGTAAATGATTGTGGACAAGGAATGTTTTTTTCTGAAAAGAAAGTAGCAAGTCCCAGAGCAGATAAATCTTGATTTGGGTTTTCCCGTCTAGGTTCCATAGAGGCAATCATGTCACTTTTTGAGCTATATTGGGCCAATCAGCTTGGGAACATTACAATGTCTTAACAATTTCATTACACGAATCAGTTAAACGCCTCATTCTTGCTGTATAATTTTTTTCTTTAAATGGCTTAAGCAACTGATCAAGTAGCTGTGCTCTGATGTTAAAATAAGCATAGACAAGTTTTTCAAGCTGAACTGAAGCACATGATTTTTTTTTTTTATTAATTGGAGATGTCTGAACTAATTTATGCACAACTCAATTAATCTTTGGATTTACTGAATATCTTACAAACTCACTAGAAAAATAAAATACAACAGGGATGATAGACATACAGAGGCTTGAACATACATAAATAAAAAAACTCTCCCAGAATCGCTGAGGTATAAACCTCGGTGACAGGGACTGGCTGCTATTCAAGATATTAGCAGCTTGCTTTTTCCCATTTCTAAAATTGTCTTGCAGGTATGTGCGAAACTACCAGGAAAAGGAGAAGGTGGCACAGAGGTATAGAGGTCAGGCGCATAGTCAAGGGGATGTCTGCTTTTTCTCGAAGGCTTCATAATTTTTTATTCTTCTGGGTGTATTTCACCAGCTGCCTGGCAGTTTTCAAAACTTGCAAGCTTCATCTGTACTGAGTGATTTAATCTTTCAGGCTAAAGAATGGGAAGCCTTTCTCGTGTTGCGTCAATCCAATTTTATTTCATCTGGGAAAAGCCTGATGATGAGCAAGAAACATCCAGTTTCTGCTAAAGGGTGCGTTGAGCTCATAACTCATTAAATTGTGGGGAAAGCCCGTCTCTTGTGTGTCCTCATGGGAATAGGCACCGGTCTCGGGGAGCAAGAGACTCATAGACGGTGGCTTGGTTAAGGGAACCCACCCCACCATAGCCGTAGTGAACTCGTTAGTTTACCCGCAACTATCGAAATGATGGGTCTCAGTTCGAGAAGAAGAGCTGACAGAGCAAAGCCGCGTGGAGTCAAAATTGCCCTTGTGCTGTTGGTGATGTTACTTGTTTTTCCCCTGTTGTGACCCAGTTGTAAAATCAAAATGCAGGTGTGTTTTTTTTTTATACGCACCGTTTTATTTATGTTTTACTAACGGGAAGTCTAGTGACGAGGACCGCGTAAGAGGAGTTACTGGGGTAAAAAACAGAGGACACGACAAGCTTGCCAGGCTCTGTTTTTAAGAAGGGTCTTGGCCCCTCTATTTTTCTAACTTTTATAATCTCGTTTTAAAATAAAATATCTTAAAATATCAAAGGAAGCATTTAGTAAAGATTTTAAGAATATCTTAAAATATCAAAGGAAGCATTTAAAGATTTTAAAATTCAGCTGCTTATTTTTTTACAGTGAAAGGTAATTTTATAAAACCATGTCAAAAGTAAATTACTTTTCACTTCAGTAATTTATGAAGAAGTGATGTTTATTGAAATGAAAAGTTGCTTATTTTATTTTAAAATAAAAAATATTTTAAAATTGTAAAAATACATCTAGTATAGTTTGCCTTAATGCTGGCGTTGTCCTTGCATTTCTACTGTCCTGTACACAGATAGGTTTAATTTGAGATGAAAAGTTGCGTTGTTCCATCTATTGAGAAGTCATAATTATGATTCGTAAGTGTCTAATTTGAAAAAGTATTATTATTTTATTTTCTTATCATAAATATTGAGAGATTCTTGTTAAAAGATATTATGTAAAGTTTTGATTTTTTTTTTCATTTATTATTTTACATGTTTGTGTGTTTTATTATTATTTTAGTAGTAAGTTATGTGAAAAGAATTCAATATTTTTAGATTGAATTTTCTAGATGAAAATATAAAATTGTTAATTATTTTATCGCGTTTAAAATAATATATATATATATATATATAAAATTATTCTTATATGGCTAGACTAGATAATATAAATTATTAAAAAAATATCTTTTCCGTTATATGCATCACCGTGAAGCTTACATTTGAAACTTTTCATCCTTCTAGTTCGTAAGATTTTAGCCAACGGTTGTTCGCTATTTATGAACAGTATCACGCGTTTTAATCAGCAATATATATATATGTATATATATGTATGTATGTATATATATCCCGTTCTTTTCTTCATCGCCCTGTTTATATTGTGGAAATCCATGGACACGTTAATTTAGGATAGGAGTGGACCGTACTCATGACCAATAGAAAAAACAAACCAAGTTGAAATTGAATTATTACTTTTTTTTTTTTGTTTTTGAATGAAATTTCTATTTTCCTAATCAAGCCAAATTAAAAATTCGGCTATTCGGTTTTCTGTACGGTTATAAAAAATCTTTATTCAATTCTCAATGCAGAACGAATTTACAGGGATTTAGTTGTAACTATGACTAAGTATAGGGACTAGACTATAGATATTTATAAAATATAGATATTACAATACTTCAAACTAATTAACTTGCCCCGCACAAAAGCAAAACACATGCTTTCCGGTTATTTTTAATTTGATTTAGTTTTTATTAAAAAAATAAATAAATTAAAATTTTTTGAAAAAAATCCGAAACTAACTCAAATAAATCAATTTTGATTAAGTTTGATTAGGTTTTTTAAATAAAAATTGGTTTAAACCGATTTGACTTGATTTTGGCTTAATTTTTTCTATTTGACTTGGTTTTTTTTCAGACTTTTTTCATTTGGGTTTGGTTCGGGTTTTTTATAAAACCGAACCAGCTGATTTTTTAATTTTAATTGATTTTTTTCAGTTTGATTTTTTAATTATTTGTTTTTGTTTTTTTAGTTTAATCAGTTTTTTGGGTTTTTTTCTCACCCCTGCTGCCTCCTCCCTTTTAACAAATTTTCAGGGATTTAGTTGGAACTATGACTAAGTATAGGGACTAGACTATAGATATTTATAAAATATAGATATTACAATACTTCAAACTAATTAACTTGCCCCGCACAAAAGCAAAACACATGCTTTCCGGTTATTTTTAATTTGATTTAGTTTTTATTAAAAAAATAAATAAATTAAAATTTTTTGAAAAAAATCCGAAACTAACTCAAATAAATCAATTTTGATTAAGTTTGATTAGGTTTTTTAAATAAAAATTGGTTTAAACCGATTTGACTTGATTTTGGCTTAATTTTTTCTATTTGACTTGGTTTTTTTTCAGACTTTTTTCATTTGGGTTTGGTTCGGGTTTTTTATAAAACCGAACCAGCTGATTTTTTAATTTTAATTGATTTTTTTCAATTTGATTTTTTAATTATTTTTTTTTGTTTTTTCAGTTTAATCAGTTTTTCGGGTTTTTTTCTTATCCCTGCTGCCTCCTCCCTTTTAACAAATTTTCAGGGATTTAGTTGTAACTATGACTAAGTATAGGGACTAGACTATAGATATTTATAAAATATAGATATTACAATACTTCAAACTAATTAACTTGCCCCGCACAAAAGCAAAACACATGCTTTCCGGTTATTTTTAATTTGATTTAGTTTTTATTAAAAAAATAACTAAATTAAAATTTTTTGAAAAAAAACCGAAACTATCTCAAATAAATCAATTTTGATTAAGCTTGATTAGGTTTTTTAAATAAAAATTGGTTTAAACCGATTTGACTTGATTTTAGCTTAGTTTTTTCTATTTGACTTGGTTTTTTTTCAGGGCTTTTTCCATTTGGGTTTGGTTCGGGTTTTTTATAAAACCGAACCAGCTGTTGGGTTTGGTTCGGGTTTTTTATAAAACTGAACCAGCTGATTTTTTAATTTTAATTGATTTTTTTCAGTTTGATTTTTTAATTATTTGTTTTTGTTTTTTTAGTTTAATCAGTTTTTTGGGTTTTTTTCTCATCCCTGCTGCCTCCTCCCTTTTAACAAATTTTCAGGGATTTAGTTGGAACTATGACTAAGTATAGGGACTAGACTATAGATATTTATAAAATGTAGATATTATACTTCAAACTAATTAACTTGCCCAACACAAAAGCAAAACACACCGCCTCCTCCCTTTCTTTTTCTAATTCACCTCCCGCTCCACAATCCTCGTCATCAGCCACCAAGCACCCCCGGGCACCGCCCAACGCCCATCAGCCACCACCATCAAAGCTTCAAGTCGCGGTCTCCGTCCAAGCTTCAAGGTGCGGTCTCCGGACCAGGTATTTTTTTATCAACAGTAATCTGAGTACCCAAGTATTTCTGTACACCTAACTTAATTATTAATAGTAAATATTTTTCATTTTCATATCATTTAAAATCAAAGATGAACATGAGGAGGGAGAGTTTGAATTACAAAATCGGGTTGTAAATAATCGATAAAAAGAGGGTCTGAGTTTATTTCTTCTCTGTTCAGACGAAAAAAAGGGTATGAGCTTCGAATTGCTAATTTTCTTAGTAGTTGTTACAAGATTTTAGGGGATGTTTTGAAAAAATTCAGATTGTGTATTGGATTGTTAAGTTTGTAATTTTTGGGGATTACCAGCGTGTTTCTACCTTTGATATAAGAAAAAAGTTTGAAAGGAATATGTTATGGAAGTAGGATTTGAAAATGGACTGTTAAGATTACTGTAACAAATATTGAAAGATCAAATATCAAGCATGCTTGGTGGAATTTGGAAAAAAAATAAAATTATAGCCAACAGTAGATCCTAATATATTGTAATCATAATATCATCTAAGATGAACTAAATTATGATCAGTTGCTAGAAAAAAGAGATGTATAAGTTTAATATTAAAGTGTAAATAATAAATTTTGGTAAAAGTGGAGTGGCGTCACGCTGTTAGTGTGGGAACAGCATCCAAAATTTTTAAGGGGGATTTACCCTAATTTCAAGCGGCAATGTTTTACCCCACCTTTTACTCTCCAGGCCGGGCCACGATTTAATTTGTAAAATTAACATATACTTATCATGTTATCGTGGAAATCGCTTTAAAACTCCAAAACTGAGAAAATTGAATGAAATCATAAGTTGAAAATCGGTAAACTCGCGATTTTAATACCGAGTTTACATTTTCGTGGATGTGAATGTGAAAGTGAAATCATCAAGTGTGATTTCCTTGTCTTGTTTCTATGACTAATTTCATTCTGGTGATTTACCAGCTGTCTTCTTCACTCTTACTCTCTCCTTTAACTTCTCCTTTTCATTCAAGAAAACATCTATGCTTTTCAATTCCCTCATCTTACAATCTCCCCATCGTAATCCCTTTTGTTTTGTAGTACTCTGTAGAAAGAAAAAAGAAGATAGAGGGAGACCCATCTGTGATTTCAACAACTATTTTTCTCTCCTTTAACTTCTCCTTTTCATTCAAGAAAACATCTATGCTTTTCAATTTCCCCATCTTAATCCCTTTTGTTATGTAGTACTCTGTAGAAAGAAAAAAGAAGATAGAGGGAGACCCCTCTGTGATTTCAACAAACAAAGTCTTTGAGATCTGCCCACTTCGCTTACAGGTGCTTTTCTTATTTCTAATCTGATTCATGGACCTCAATTACATGCAAATATTATCCTTTTTTGCTTCTTTTTGTTGTTATCATTTTGTTTTTTTTCGGGTATTCAACTCTGGTTTCAAAATGGTTTCTTTAATGTTGTATTTCTAGGAACTGAAATTTTTGTAGATGGGCTTATAAACTTTGGATTATTTCCATGTTATTTCTTTGTCTGGTCGCTGATAAATTATGGAAAATGTATACAAGGGGTAAGAAAACATTGTTTTTCTTAGTTTTATTTCTCCGTTTGGTTGATGACCAAAGGTGGGAATAATAGCAAAATCTACCTTCTTTTTACTATCAATTTTAGTTTCATTGTACAAGACTTTTATATTGTAAAATACTTGGATAATTGTGTTAATTGTTGTGCTAGCTGGACAAAAATGTGTGATAGTGAGGAATTGTGCTGAGTCAACAATTTGGCTACTCTCTATTTGCATGATGAAAATGTACAGTTGTATACATTATAACATGCTATTCTTAAATTTCTTTCATTTTGAGTCTTTGACCATTACGGTCTCTGCATCCCCATATTCTTTTCATGGGATGAAAAACTATGTACATGAATAATTATATTGTGTTTTTAAGTTACTTATGCATAAATTTTTAATTAACCTATGTAATTTAAGGTGCTAACTTGAACTATATAAGGAAAAAATTTAGTTATGATTTTATAATTTTACAATCCGAGTTTATATTGTATTTTGTTGTTGTGACGTTTACAATCCAAGTTTATATTGTATTTTTTTGTGACATGTAAAAAATATATTTTTGATAATCTTTCTCGAGGCCTCTACCAAATATATCTATAGGTATTTCTTTTTTGTTTTTGAAAAATTACAAAATACTCTTCTAATGAAGACCCTGTCTGTGGCTACGTTTGCACCGGAATCTCAACAAAATGTGAATTTGTTTTGTTTAAAAATAATTTTATTTTACGTATTTTTATTGTTTTGATGTTACAATATTAAAAATATTTTAATATTTCTATAGGTATTTCTTTTTTGTTTTTGAAAAATTACAAAATATTCCTCTAATTAAGACCCTCTTTGGGGCTGCGTTTACATTGGAATCTCAACAAAATTTGAATTTTTTTTGTTTAAAAATAATTTTATTTTATGTATTTTGATATTATATTGTTAAAAATGTTTTTTAACAAAAATAAACAAAAAATATTTTAATATATTTATAAATAAAAAATATTTTGAAAAATAGTAAGTATGGCATCCCTTAAATTATATTTGCTAACGAAGATTACGATTACGATTTGGTAAGTTTTCTCCATCTTTCTCCTTCAATTTTTCTTTTATATTGTCCCAAACTTTTCTTCTAAATTTGCACATTTGTTACAATATCCCATAGAAACTCCGAGAAGTCTTTTCCTCGGGCATTTTCCCTCCTAAACCGGGTGTAAAAAGGTCTTTTCGTAAGAAAAGGGATATTGTAAGAAAAGACAGCATGAAAAGACTTTTGCATACCTGGTTTTCATGTATAAAGAAAAGAGAGCTAGGAAAAGACCTTTTTACACCTGGTTAAGGAGGTTTATGTGTGAACTCGTTATGGTAAGTTTCTAGCTGCCGCTCTTATTTCCGCCATTTTAAGATGTTCTAGGAAATGAATTTTAGCTTAATTATCATAAAAGTTAGACATGGTAAAAGATAGCTGATAAGGCTGATCTAACTATTTAGAGCATGCTTTTATTTGTATTTTAAAAGTGTTTTTAAAAAAATTTAAAATTTTTCTTTTTTTATTAATTTTAAATTAATATTTTTATTAATTATTTTGATGTATTGATATTTAAAATAATTTTTAAAAAATAAAAAAATATTATTAATATTTCTTTTAATATAAAAAATAACTATAATTACGCTGCCCAGACAAACTAGAGTATGAAGCTCACGTGTTTAGCGAAAGGTTGGGAAGAAGATGGTGGAGAAAGGTAGTAGCTACTTTAGTGAGATGGAAAGTAGTGCCATGCATGAATCGCCGGCCAAACAAATTTATTTCCATTTTAGGATAGTTCTTTGCCGGCCGCATTATAATCGTATCCTTTCTTCTTTTCCCATCAAGGATGAAAAACTGAGTGAAAGTTGACAAAGAAAAAGCAGCCAATCCAATCCACCTTTTGATTTCCGAATACTGGGCCCATGCTTTATGACTGGGTCCCTCCGCTCTGAGTGCTGTGGCCTGAAACATCCGAGGGAGGTCGAGTCAACTGTCCTCGGCTGTTTCATGTTCGAGGGAGCGAGTCACGTCTCTTTTTATCGCGAGCGCCAGCTACTTGTGTCTTTCGAGCGCTTATAAATTAGGTCTTTGATGCAAACAAATCATGCAGGTTTAAAAAAAAACAAAAGGAAAGAAAACAAATCATTCTGGACCTTTGCAGCCAAATTATATCTTGCGTCTCTGCTCGCTCAAGAGACTAACATTTTCTGATTGAATTGAATTTATCCAGAAAAAAGAAAAGATTTTAAATAAGCGAAAACATTTCATCTTTTTGGATTGGAAGGATGGCAAATGCGGAACACCCAAATTCAAAGAATGAGATGTGGATAGCCATCCAGTCAACAGCACAAATGCCAAATATTGACAGAGGACTGATATCAACCGCTCGGCAGATATATTAAGAAAGAGAAGTTACATCATTCAAACTCTAGGTTCCCGTTCCTGTCCTTCTGTATAGTTTGAACTCGACACTCCTCGAAAGAAAAATCCCGATCCCAGATCAGTACGATGGGAACTCTGTCTTTCTTTTCCTCTTTCTGCTGGTGAACAGAGAAAAAGACTTTCAAATTATTTGGAACGATATGGATTGCGGAGAATCTTTCATGCGAGACTTGAACAGATGCAGTACGTTTTTGGGGGGTGGTGCTGGCATCGTACAGGTTCCTGTATGATGCAATCCTCGAGAAGACTGACAGCTGCTTGAGCATCAATAGAAGCAAACGTGAAGACAACCAGACTTCACCACCTCTGTTACTGATGTAGCTGTGCCTGAAGAAGGAGCTAGCATATCATCACTTGGTGAAAGCAAAGAAAGGTTTTTTTTTTTTTTGAAAAGCAAAGAAAGACTAAACTCTTTTTATCTGTACATCTAGAATCAGAACCGATATGATTCGAAAATTAGACATCACATCATCGCTTTACTGTTTACCGTTTAATTACCACTGATTATCAATGGATATGTAAATAAATATAACAAATCTCGCTTAACAAAGATCGACTGGCTTTGTAGTGATTAGTAAACTCCATCGATTAAGTTAACTTAATAGCGTATCAGTTTCTGGATAAACTTAATATTCTAAAAAAAAATAGTTTGCATTTCGTCTATTTAATTGAAAAATAAATTTAAAATGGATAGCGGTTGGGAATCATACTGGCCACCGCACCACTGTGATCGATGACCAGTGGCCGGTATCGGCCATGCAAGATTTACCGATTCCCAAACAAGCGAGCTTAGTTGTGATGATGTCATTAATTATATATTCAATTAGTCCTCCTTGTTTCTAGAATATCCCTCTTGGCCAATAAAACTTCAGCACTTTGACCCAATAACTCATGATCAATTGGCTATTTGCAAATCAATTGGAAGGTTTTTATTTTGGTGTAACCACTTGTGGATTGTGATTTTTGTTCGAGGTGCTGTGAGGATATCATGCGTGTTAGTTGGGAAACAATTGATGGCAATTTTAAAAATAAATACAAAACAATTTTTAGAGTATCACCCAATAATTTAAATTCTTAAATTAAAATAATTATTTAACATAGAATTGCAAGTTAAGATGTCACCACTCTCGTTCTTCTGGTTAAATTAGATTTTTTTGGCATAATAATGATGAATTTGTATAAATTTCAAGTTTAAATAATTTGATTAGTACTTAATGGAGTTGATATAAACCTACTTTTTTACCTTTAATCATGCAATAATTTAAACTTACAATGAGGATGGATTTGGAGGGCATTGATCTAAGTGAATTGCTAACTTAGATCGATGTCAAGAGAAATTTCAAAAGGCAAACGAAAATGTTTCTCAATCATTGAAAAACTGAGGTATTTTATACTTTTCTCTGTTATTTTGAACGGTCTATAATTTTTTAGGTGCAATTGGGTTCTTGTATTAAAAAGAAAATTGTAATCAGACGAGTGAGGTTTCGTATATATATAACTAAATCTTGTTTTTTATTTAAAAAATATATAATAAAATAGAAATGCATTATCAAATAAACAAAAACCAAATCAAGTGACCACGACAAGACATGGTTTGTGACTGGTTCGTATGTGGTTCCTCCAGAAGGTTAAGGTTGTTGTATAACCTTCAAACTTTGAGAAATTTCACGTTCTAAGTCCTAAAACTTAGAAGTATATATTTTTAGTTATATTTCGCAACCCCAGCATCAAGATATTATATCCATAACTTTCCTTGTGTTGTTTTAGATTCAAAATTATTTTAATTTCTTCACATTAGCACTCCAATCCTAAAATCCTTGTTGTTTGTTTGTGGCAGTATCAAAATGTATTGTCTTGCAAATAGAAATCAAAAACTGAAAATTGAAAACCATTTTTCTTATATATATATATATATATATATAGTTTTTATTAATATGTTGGCATAAAAAAAAAACACATGCAACAGCAGGGCAAAACACTTTTCATTTCTTTCTTCTCTACTCACATAACACAAAAATTATATATAATCGTACCAAACAGCACTTTATTAATCATGCATATGAGCCTGCAAGATTCAAGTTCATATAAATTATATATGATCATACCAAACGTCAATTAATGACTTGTTTCCTCTAAGATATAAAAGTTTGACTTCAACTGAGTGAGCTCAAAACTCCACCTTTTAAAATATATTTCTTGAGCTATTAAAGACTCTCAATGATGTTTTTTTTTTAAAAAAATGAGGATATAATTTTTATTCACTTAAGATACATATATTTTTAAAACGGGCATTAGTGTAGTGCTATTTACAGTGTTAGGATATTATCAAATGTAAAAATATTTAATCTAACTCTTATTATAATTTATTAGAAAAATACTTATTTTTTCGTAAATATCTCTCGAGACAATGATATATTCCATGATCTAACTGGTTATATATGTTGGATATGTTTACAACTGTAGAAAGTCTTCTTCGAGTTCCAATCAATCTTGCTTTTACCGTCCTAGGAACTAGGAGGAGGGGAAGAGAAGAAATGAATCTGGCCCTTTCATTGGAGATCGAAACAAACTGAAAGATGAAAATGGCTCTCTTTAATTTTTGAACAAATAAAAAGGGTAGCCGCCTTTATTTTATTCCTTTCGGACTCCGAATGAAATAGAGTTTGAGTTTCGGACAATGATATATCACCATAACGTGATCTAGGAATCCACAAAAGAAAAGAAAAAAAAAAACAATAAAGCAAGGTGTATTCTGTTAATGGCAGAGCAGTGAAAAATTGATGCCACAAGAGAGTGCTATAAATACCCGACGTATCTCCTTCCATGGAAGCCATAAAAAATTAATCAGCATTCATTTGCACGACTCAGACTGTACCTGCTTACGAGTGGATTTACTGTGAAAAAATGTCAAGGGATAGAGATCCTCTGAGCGTTGGCCGTGTTATAGGGGACGTGCTGGACCCCTTCACAAAGTCTATCCCCCTCAGGGTCACTTACAATTCCAGAGAGGTCAACAACGGTTGCGAGCTCAAGCCCTCTCAGGTTGCCAACCAGCCTAGGGTTGATATTGGAGGGGAAGATCTAAGGACCTTCTACACTCTGGTACGTGTCAGCTCCTCCTTTAAGTAGCAGTCTTTCGTTTATTTATTTCTTATGTTTTCCGGTGACTTCATTAAGTACAGTATTTACTGCAGCCAAACGTGCATATTTTTTATTCTCTAGATTATTTGACAATCTTACGAGTGAACTCACTTCCATCGTAGGTTATGGTGGACCCTGACGCACCCAGCCCAAGTGACCCCAGCCTAAGAGAATATTTGCATTGGTAAATGGCAAAATGCCTCCCTCTCTCTCAACGCTCTATTTCGATCTTGGTGTTATGATGGATCTATCGTAAATATGTGATATAAACAGGGTTAAAAGATCAAGAATATGCTTTAATTATTGCTATAATTACATTTTAATTAACAATGAAACTACTGAGTTAAGTGCTCTATAAAAAATAATAACTGCATATGTACGTAGATTTACGTGGCTCTATACACACACACACACACACACATTGATCACAGCTGATATTACTCTTGTAGAATTGTTGGTCTGGATTGGTCACTAAGTACAGTACGTACGTTGAAAGCAAGGGAAGAGTTTCCATGACCCTCTCTGTTTCTGTTTTCTTGTCTGATTTGCAGCATGTTCCTTTCATTGTTTTCTTTCTCTTTCATTTCTTTGTTTTTTTAATTCCTTTGTTGCTCAGTGGGTCAACCAAACAGGGAGCAGATTGACTAGGGTTCGTTTAGAGATGCCGGGTCTATATTTAGTCACGTACGATGATATTGGGTACCTATATCCAGACTCTTTTTTTTTTTTTGGGATTCTGAATTTCTTTTATATAAAATAATATTTAATAAAATAACATAGTTTATAGTTTAAAGAGTTACAAACTACGTCTATAATTCAAGAATTGTAAGTGTTATCGTGACTCTTTTAAATTATAAAATTATTGGATAGAATATTCAGTTAAATAAATAAATAAAAAAGATTTAGGAATCAAATCAAAACTTTGAAAACGGTTATTATTAAAAAAATCTCCACAAAACAAATTAAAAAACACAAAAATAAATCACAAACAATGATACATAAGGGCCCACACAATTTTCTACTCCATATAATATAATATCCAAGTAGTGTAGTAATCGATATTGAACGAATTTCTAATCGGCAAAACTGATGATCAACCCAGTTTAGTTAGTTATATATTGTCGTGTGTAGAAAATAAATATAATAGAAAGTAGAAACAGAACCTTATCTTGCATATATATCCAACGCATGATACCGCAAGTCGACTATGCTCTGTTTGTTTGAACTTCAGCTGATATGAACTTCTTGTCACATGAACTCGCAGGTTGGTGACTGATATTCCAGCAACAACTGGGGCAAGCTTTGGTGAGTATATTTACATTAATATTTTCTTAAAAGACTCAAGAATTCCATTAGGATTTAGGAACTTCTAATTTTACTTGTATACTTGTCTATACTCCTACGTACTCAGTCTAGGAATTATGCTAGTTTGTTTGCTTTTTCCCGTCATATAACCCTTTCCTGTGATATAATAATTACTAGAGTGAAATTGAGTTATTGAGACTCAAACCTCATTTATTCAAAGAAGCTATCGATCTAGTATACAACCGCTGGGTTATATATATATATATGTGATGTTCTGGTTTTATTTATAAAGCATATTGTTTGTCGGGACACCATTATCGATCCTTCGAAATATGATCTCTCGTCATGATTCTATTTCAGTGAATATTCTGATTAGGAAAAAATCAATTATGGCAGTTTTGCTGGCATATGATTGGATCGAAATTTAGTTGTCCAGGGGTTCTCCACCAAAGCCGTTTTAGATTTTTTTTTTTTAGCTATACGTGCAAAAAAATTCATTTCTAAATAGCATTTAAATAATTAAAAAAAACAGCATTTGAAAGGGAAAAAAAGTCATTTCTGTAATATATATATTTTTTAAGTAATCAAATCTCAAATAATTTTCATTAACAATATATATAAAAAAAAGGTCTTGGAAATTAAGCCGCTAGATTTCTGAAGTGCAAGAAATTTCTAATTATAATTAGTTTTTCTCGTGGGGTTTATTGGTTGTGTTTTTAGCAACTTGGAATTGAAGAATCCAATTTAAGAAACCTGGGATTTGATAATAGCCAATCAAGGAGGGGAACTGAAGAATTATTCCTTTTCACCGGTCTCTTTTATCTTATCAACAATGTCCCATGATATGTTTTTTCGGTTTAATCAACGGGGTGTTTTTTAGTTTAACTTTTATGTAATAAAGGGTTAAACAAGAATTAAGCATGCCATTTATATATAAAGTGATATATTAATGAAAAAAATATTTTTTATGATTTTTTAAAAGCTCAAATGATGAGAGTGCTGATTCTCGAAAGGTAATATATTCCCACTACCTACGAGATATGACGTTTGAGGCAACGATGAGACACCAAAAGTTTCTAGGCCAAATAGCCAGGTCTTTTCCATTTCCACCTGCGGGCTCGTAGAAAAGCAAACAAAAGAGTGGATGGGGATTGTGGGCGGACAAGGACAGTGAAGATAAAATAATATGCTTGCTTTTTATTGCTTTAACGCCTGAGGGTTGCTGGGTACGTGGCCATATCAATTATGTGTTCTGATTGGTGAACTGTCTTTGTGAAATAGGAAATTAATAAAACCTCCACATATGTATACGTTGATCCTGAAATACCTCATGCATGACAGGGAAATCTTGATTTTTTAGATATGTTCTTGCTTGTTTGCATCAGAACTAACTATTATATCGACATTTTGCGAAGGCCATGAAACTGTGTGCTATGAGAGCCCGAGGCCGACAATGGGAATTCATCGGTTTGTTTTCGTTTTGTTTCGGCAACTGGGCAGGCAAACTGTGTATGCCCCTGGGTGGCGCCAGAACTTCAACACCAGAGACTTTGCTGAGGTATACAATCTTGGATCGCCAGTGGCTGCTGTTTATTTCAACTGCCAGAGGGAGAGTGGCTCTGGTGGTAGGAGGCGATAATAGGAAGATATCCCTTTAAATATTCCCATGTTGAAAAAAGACTGAAAACAAGTCCATCAATATGGTATTGCTGCATATACAGTCCTATCATCTAGCTTCCCCTATTATATTCCTGCCTACTTGTAGCAAAAACACCTGATCACGTCAAGGTATCAATAAAATATGATGTTATTATTGTTATAAGTGATGCTTTTTCTGTTTTTTTCACTTTCAAAATGAGACCTAAGATATCGACTACATTCGGAAAATCGTCCCCCCTTGTCCTTCAATTTTCATCTCATCCTTTTCAATGTCTTAAGCCTTCAAATAGAATTCAAAGTTGTCAAGTACATGTATGAAACTACGAATTGTTGCTGCATGCTGCTTAATTCCCTACTTCACTATCTGTTTTCTTTTTCCCTCGTACATCCACTATTTCCTCTTCTTTTCCAAAAAAAAAAATGGATTTTCCATACATTTGACTTCAATACTTGCTTCAACACTTATTGGCTATTTACAGTACCCGCTGTTTCTTTTACATCTTGGTCTGTAATCATCCATCACATTAGGAGGAAAGGAAACCTTTGGACATTTTGATTTTTCAGATACAAAATTATACCCAGTGACAAGAAGATAAGTTAATCCTGTCAAGCCTCCGAGAGGGCCAAAAAACGATGGCAAATTTGTTAAGAAATGGAGTGAGCGCATAGAGTAAACTAAATGAACCAGTTTTCCGGTAGCAATGGTCAAAAGAATGTCCTTGATAGAGTCCAGAAAAGTCGATAATAGAGAAATAAGTGTAGTCAATAGCAGCACCATAATAGACGAGCTTGTAACAATAATAGAGAAATAAGTGTAGTCAATAGCGTTGCCTATGATCGCAGAACAACCCAATTAATTGAGAAGAATTTTCAAGCAGGATATCAATTTCAGCTCCCATGCAAGATGGAGATCTTTCAGTTCAACTTGGTGCCATTTCATCAGACACCCCAGCTATAAAAGCCTTGCTTTCGACAAGAAAACACATTCTGCGTGGTAGAAAATTGTTCGAACCTGAGCTGCTTCCTAATTAAGATACTAAGCCCGCCACCTCATCAAATAACAGCACCATAATAGACGAGCTTGTAAAAGACTATGAGTGGCCAGGCAAGTCCTCTGATTATAGTTTATAAGCGCGATGGAAAAAATTTTCAGAGACATCAAAACATTCATGAACTTCACATATCATGCCCCGAGTCATGAGTAAAGGTTGGTGTTCAACTTAATTAATAGCTTTTGGGTCTACAAGTATATCATTGGGTTGGATCTGTTAACGTGTTCTCAATGCCCAACATGATTTTTTCTGTGTTCCTTGTTTTGTTGTTAATTTTAGCTTCCCACCAAATTTTCTTTATCCAGGTAGTTACGGGTAGCTCTCCGGCAGATATTGTAATTGGATTCCGTCGTGGATAGACCATAACGATGATACATGCATAACCCCCTTGATGGTCCTCGAGGAACCTTTGCCCATGCTACCCCACCAACGAGGAACGCAAGGTTCCTTTCGATGCATGTGAAAACGGGAGTCAAGATTCAGGACCTAGTCAAGTGGACCTGGAATCTGTCGCTGTGCATGAAAGAGCACATGTTCTTGACCATAATGACATCGATCCAAACGCCGTTGCCATCTATCTTCAAGAATATTTTTTTAAAAATTAATTAACAAAAGATATTTTTTAATTAATAACAAACATTTTTTGTCCAATAAAAAATTTAATTTGATTTTCATGAAAGTGTTTTTCCTTTTATTTTACATAAAAAATACTTTTTAAAAAATTATGAAAAAATTAAAAATATCATATTATTTGCTGATTATATCAAATTTGATCTTTAAATCATCTATCTTCAAGAATATTTTTTTAAAATTTTTTAAAAAATTAATTAATAAAAAACATTTTTTGTCCAATAAAAAATTTAATTTGATTTTCATGAAAGTGTTTTTCCTTTTATTTTACATAAAAAATACTTTTTAAAAAATTATGAAAAAATTAAAAATATCATATTATTTGCTGATTATATCAAATTTGATCTTTAAATTTTTTATTGTTATATATTTTTTTTTGAATATTTATTTTTTAATTTCATTCCTCATAATTTAATTTTTATATTAATTTTGGTTCTCATTTTTATAATTTTTATTTGTTTTTACCTTATTATTTTTTAATTAAAATTTTTTATCTATCAAATTTGGTTCTTATTTTATTTATTGTTATTTATTTTATTTGAAATAATTTATAAAATGCTAGTTATTATTATTTCAACTTTTTCATCTTTTATTTTTTTATTTTTTAAATTTGATCATTGTTATTTTGATTATTATTATTTATTTTATTTGAGATAATTTATGAAATTATATTTTTTTTAATTTTATTCTTATTTAAAATTTTAATTTGTAAGATTTATTCCTCGTTATTTTAATAAACTTGGAAAAATAAAATATTTATAAGTTATTTTCCAGCTCATTTTTCATAACACAGTCAAACACTCGAAAGTGTTTTCTAACGAAGGTCCCGTTTGTTTGTTGGAAAGTAGTTTTTTTTTAAAAGTGAATTTTGGAAAAGTGAATTATTTTCTGATGTTTGATAGTGTAATGAAAAATAAGTTGGAAAACACTTTCTATTATTTGGTTATTTCATAGAAAATGAGCTGAAAAATAACTTATTAATGTTTTTTTTTTTGAGGTTTATTAAAATAATGAGGAACAAGTCTTATAAATTTAAAAGTTGAATGAGAATGAAATTAAAAAAAAATATAATTTCATAAATTATCACAAAAAAATAAATAATAATCAAAATAATAAAGATCAAATCTAAAAAATATAAAAAAATAAAAGATTAATAAATTAAAATAATAATAATTAACATTTCCTAAATTATTTCAAATAAAATAAGTAACAATCAAAAGAACGAGTACCAAATTTGATAGATAAATAAATTTTAATAAAAAAAGACGGTGATAGATAAATAAATTTTAATAAAAAAAAGACGACGAAAAAGAAAACAATTATAAAAATAAAGATCAAATTTAATATAAAAATTAAATTTTAAAAGATAAAATTAAAAAATAAATATTTAAGACAAAATATATATAGCAATCAAATGTTTGATGACCAAATTTGATATAATCAGCAAATAATATGATATTTCTAAATTTCTCATAACTTCCGAAAAGTATTTTCTGTCCAAATTTTTCAGAAAAATATTTTTTAAAAAATCAAGTCAATTTTTTTTTTACTGAAAAGTATTTTTTATTAACCAACTTTTTTAATGACAAACAAATATACAAAAATTTAAAAAGTAGTTTCCTGAAAATTACTTTTCAGAAGACAAATGTTATCTAATATTTTTTATTATATTACCGAATATTATAAAATAATTTATTTTTTTCAGAATTTACTTTTCAAAAAAAAAAACGTTTAAGTAAACAAACAATCCCTACCAAAAAAGGGATTTCCGTGAGGATGATACTCTGGGCATGCGAGTTTTATACGAATTCACTAATAATTATTGGAACAAGAGGGAAAGAGAGGTTACATGCAGTTTTATTATCTTAATTGAGACTATGTATCTCCATCCTTTTCTATTAACGAATCTGTGTTTAGGCCATCCTAAAGGTGTTTGGAGTTTTTGTCTGCAAATCTTATCTCCTCGGACGCCTAGAACAATGATGTAAATAATTATTTTTGATAGAAAATGTTATGAATCGCCTGTTTTGGAGGGTTTAGCTAAAATTTCACGAATTTTACAATCCATATTTCAAAAGAAGGATAAAGAATACCAGTACTCGTTGAGCTCAAATTTTTCGAATTTGATGCAAGTCGTCTTCTTCATTTTTCTTCATGCAAAGAGAGATTGAGGCCTGGGCTGTTTCTATTTGGGCCTTCTACAGCTGAACGGGTATTTCTTGGTGTTGAAACTTTCAGGGCCTGGAGTGAACGCGGTTCACTTTAAGGTTTAATCAGGGCCATAAAGCCCATTTTCAAATCAGCGTAAAATCCCAGCCCGCGTCAGCGTAACAATCACGCGGGGCTTTATCGAACCGTTATAAATATACGAAATATGACGACTTTCCACTAAAATCACTTCTTCTTCTTCCCTTCGTTTTGTTTTTATGGCAGTTTTCCCTGGGGCTATGGTTCTTCAAGGGAAATTCCGGTACAAGAATACAGGAGGGCGGGCTGGATCTAGTCGAATCATGCCAGCGACTATATGGCGTTTTTTCTTATGCCTGTTTGTGCAGAACAGCTTTTTAGCAGCCAAGTTTTCTTATGTTCTTTCCTCATGATTATTTAATAAAACATGAATTTAAGCATCACTGTGTTCATTCGGTTGAAATGCATTGAAAAATAACCACTAGACAAACATGGTGTTTTTTCCATTTTTCTCAGTGACTTTCATCTCACATTTTAAAAGAAACGAATGTTTGTGAGGTTTGAAAGAATCCGTTGTTGATGTTGTTTTACGCTGTGTTATTTTCATCAAAAAATCTTTATTTTCATCTATTTTTGTGTGGAATCTTGTTTTCTTTTGCTAAAATAAGTTAATGTCTCCTAAAACTTCTCTAACAGAGTGCTTTTTGAACATTAGGTGCAAGTTTGTCACAAGTACTCACGAGCCGTAATTACTTCTGAATATTTACTTGATAGAAAGTACCGTCTTCTTCATTTCATGGAGCCATAACTACTGAACTGCGCACCACCCCTGCTCTCTGTTGTTGGGCAGGCTTGTTATTGACTGTCAACATTTCTGAATATAGAGACCAAAGTTTTCCTTTGCTTGTGTTATTTTTGGTTGCTTGGAATTTCAGGTCAGGCAACTAGCTGTGAAAGCTCGAGCTAGGAAACTTGCACCAGATGAATATCTGGGAAGAAATTTGTCACTGTTCGAGTTTTTTTTTGGTTTTCAAATGAAGATGGCCTGTTGGGTTTAGGCATTGCATAGTAGCTTGATTTTCTGCAGTTTTTCATCTTCCTCGCCAAAAAACAGAGATACACTACTACACGTCATTGTTGGTTTCCTGTCCATGTATACTGTATAAAAGATCTCTTTTATTGCAGGCTGGCATACTTCTTGATGGGGGAGGGACAGAGTTGTTGTCGATCAAACGAACGAGCAAGGCAAGGGAG